GGACCATTAAAAACTCCGGTTGACTTCCTCTAATAAGATGTTCGAAAGCATAGAAATGTAAAAACATCTTGCAGTTATGAATTTCTTTTGCCGTAGTGACTTCAAACTTTTGGTGATTTTGCTAGCGTGACGGCAAAATTATGCAAATTAGTCTGTTGAACAAACTCTGACCGTTCTTTATTAGTAGCCTTATAAATCTCAGATTGTAACAATTTTGAAAAGGAAAGATAGTAGGATTGAGCTTTTTAGAACACACCGATTGATTCTCAAAATATTTAAACGGCTAAAATCTGGCAAACGATTGTCTCGTGACGAAAAAGGTGAACAAAACGTATCGAATATCATATAGAAAAAATTTTTGATGTATCTCCAGAAACCAATGTGGTCTTATTTACTAGCTACCAAAGATAGTTCAATGGGCAAAATTTGAGGTAAAATTTTTTTCCAATAAGAAATCCCCTGAACGGCTCTTACAGAGATCGCCACTTTATTTACATGTTTGGTTTGTAAACCTTTACTACTTTGTATCGAAATCATGTGAATGAAATTGTGTTGAAACGACTTTCGACGTGTACTGCAGATCGACTAAATCGATGTTTCAAATCAACTTCAGCTTGTATCGAATCGCCTTATTTGGAAACGACTGAAAACAGTTACCTTTATTCTACGCCCGGCGTGGTGAAATCGCGTGACCTAACTTGTCCATTACAAGCAAAACAGTCATCGCCGAACATGTGTCGTTTCCAAATGCGTAGTTGTATGGAAAACTGTGCCATTTCATTACGAGAAATTGATGAAAAATACTTTACTTATTCCAGAAACTATTCCATCCCGCGCAGAAACGAGGAAAAAAAGTGAATTCTACGATGCTGTTTTTTTTTGTTTCAATTCTAAAAATAAGCTTGATTACATCATTAAGAACACGAAAGGTCTTCTATTACGTACAGCGCTTATTCGATGTAGTCGTCACTCCGAGATCGAACGATGCAAAATGTTCGGTCGCCTTCCTTGAAAACAAGCGACGAAAAATTTCTTGAGAAGATAACTGATTTCAGAGACTATTGTTTGTTTGTCTGTTTGTTTATGATTGTATGGAGAGTGCCTCTTGAGCGCGCAGAGCGAACTGATTGGATTAATGTGAGGCGCATCAGCGGTGCGATCCTAAGTAGAAAGTGACGACTTTATCAGACAAACAATAAATACTTTACTGCTGAAGAAGTCACCGCCGTGAATAACCACAACAAGCAGAAGGCCAATGCGTGAAAATATATGAAACTCAACCCTTTCCTTGAAGTACATCTTTGTTGCAAGAGTCGGGAATTTCAAATATGAACGTGCCAATTTACGATTACGTAGCAGGTCGTTTTACATTCTTTACTCAATAATTCAGTTCACACGCACCCTAACTTAACTACTGTGATTTTTCACTTGTTCCAACAGAGGCATGCATCAAGCACAAACAATCGGTAAACCGCGAAATGAATTTTGATCATCGTTATTTCTAGAGACTTGTAAAGGCAAAATTAAATTAACATTGTTATTGCCCATTTGAAAAATAATTCCCAGTGAGGTACTGCACTTGTCTAGTAAATCTTTGGTAGTGAGCTACCAAGTGCATGGAAACAATATTAGCAGACATAAACAGAAAAATTAATCAGTAATCTTACCACAATACTTGATCTCACATCGTGTATCACTAGTAGCGAAGGCGGATTTTTCTCAACCAGGACTCTGTCTATCACTGTAGTGCAAGATGTTGGCCCTTCTGTTGGGTTTGATGTGAAACAGCAGTCACCTCAATGCCACCGTAAGTAAAGATTACGGTCTTGAAGCGATTTATCAAAGTTCCCAAGTTGTCAGACAGCAATTGAACGACCGGCTGACCAGCTACGAAATCGGTGAATCAGGGCGTAAGCGGAAATCGAAACTGAAAGTACTTGGTCAGCACAATAGTTATGGTTCGTTTGGAGCCTGGGAATAGTGAAAGGAGGATAAGAGGAAATGTACGGGGTGGAATTACGAGATGGGAAATGACAACATTTTAAAAAGGATAAATAATTAATTTAGATGTTTGGATGATAAACCTTTACAAGTTTGTATCTACATCATGTGACTGAAGTTGTGTCGAAACGACTTTCTACGTGTATCGGATCGACTTAGTTGATGTATCGAATCAACTTCAGCTTGTGCTGAATCACCCTATATGAAAACGACCGTAAACGGTTACAATTATTTCACGCCCAACGTGGTGAAACATCGCGTGACCTAACATATCACATTAAGGCCTGTCACGGAAATTGCATGCATCACCCAATATGTGTCGTTTTCAAACGCGTAGTTGTATGGAAAACTGCGCCATTGCACGACAGGAAATCGTTGAAAAATACCTTACATATTCCAGAAACTATTCCATCCCGCACAGAAACGAGGAAAAAAATGAATTCTACGATACTGATTTTTTTGGTTTCAATTCTAAAAATAAGCGTGATCGCATCATCAAGAACACAATGGTCTTCATTTACTCTTTTACTTACACTGCTTTATTGATGTGGTCGCCGCTGCAAGATCGAACGATGCACAATGTTCAGTCGCCTTCCCTGAAAACAAGCAACGAAGAATTTCTTCCGAAGATAACTTATTTAGGAGACTATTGTATAAAGAGTGCCTCTTGAGCGGAGCAAACTGATTAAATAAAAACGAGGCGCATCAACGCTGCGATCCTACATCGAAATTGACGACTTCATCAGACAAACAATAAAATTTGTCATTACTGAATTAGCCACTGCGGTGAATAACCACGACAAGCTGTAGGCCATTGCGTGAAATAAATGAAACTTAACCCTTTCCTTGGAGGGCATTTTTGGTACAAGAGTCGAGATACAAATACGAACGCACCAATTTACGATTACGTAGCAGTTCGTTTACATTCTCCTCTAAATGATACAGTTCACATGCACCCTAACTTAACTACAGTGATTTGTTACTTGTTCCAACAAAGGCATGTATCACACACAAACAATCGGTAAACTGCGAAATGAATTTTGATCATCATAATTTCTAGTGATTTGTAAAGGCAAAGTCAAATTAATACTGTTATTGCCCATTTGAAAAACAATTTCCAATGATGTATTGCACTTGTCCAATGAATCTTTGATAGTGAGCCACCAAGTGGACGAAAATAACATCAGCAGACATAAACAGAAAAAAGAATCAGTAATCTTACCACAATACTTGATCTCAAATCGTGTATCACCAGTAGCGAAGGCGGAAATTTCTCAAGCAGGACTCTCTGTTTATCACTGCAGTGCCAGATGTTAGCCCTTCTGTTGGGTTTGATGTGAAACAGCAGTCACCTTAGTGCCACCGTAGGTAAAGATTACGTCTTGAAGCGATTGATCAAAGTTTTCAAGTTGTCAGACAGCAATTGAACGACCAGCTGACCAGCTACGAAATCGATGAATCAGGGCGTAAGCGGAGGTCGAAACTGAAAGAACTTGGTCGGCACAATAGTTACAATTCGTTTGGAGCCTGGGAATAGTAAAAGGAGGATAAGAGGAAATGGATAGTGTGGAATATGGGATGGGAAGTGAGAACATTTTAAAAAGGATAAATAATTAATTTAGATGTTTGGATGATAAACCTTTACTGGTTTGTATCTACATCATGCGGACTGAAGTTGTGTCGAAACGACTTTCTACGTGTATTGGATCGACTAAATCGATGTATCGAATCAATTTAAGGTTGTTTCGAATCACCTTATATGGAAACGACAGTTACGGTTACGTTTAGTCTACGCCCGGGGTGGTGAAACATCGCGTGACCTGATGTATTCCTTTATAGCCTGTCACGGAAATTGCATGCATCGCCCAACATGTGTCATTTTCAAATGCGTAGTTGCATGGAAAACTGTGCCATTTCACGACGAGAAATTGTTAAGAATATTTTATATATTCAAGAAACTATTCCATACCGCACAGAACCGAGGAAAAAAAATTAATTCTACGATACTGATTTTCTGGTTTCAGCTCTAAAAATAAGCATGATCCCATCATCAACAACACGAAGGTCTTCTTTTTTATGTACATTTCTTTGTTGATGTAGTCGCCACTGCGAGATCGAACGATGCACAATGTTCAGACGCCCTCCTTGAAAACAAGTGACGAAGAATTCGTTAAGAAGATAACTGATTTTAGAGACTATTGTAGTGAGAGTGCCTCTTGAGCAGAGCAAACTGATTGAATTAATGTGAGGCGCATCAACAGTGCGATCCTAAGTAGAAAGTGACTACTTTATCAGACAAACAATAAAACACTTCATTGTTGAATTAGTCACCGCTGTAAATAACCACAACAAGCTGTAGGCCATTGCGTGAAAATACATGAAACTTAACCCTTTCATTGATGTGCATTTTTGGCACAAGAGTCGGGAATTTCAAATATGAACATGCCAATTTACGATTGTGTAGCAGCTCGATTCACACTCTTTACTAAAGGATTCAGTTCGCATGCACCCTAACTAAACTATTGTGATTTCCATTTGTTCCGTCAGAGGCATGCTTCAAGCACAAACAATCGGTAAACTGTGAAATGAATATTGATCATCATTATTTCAAGTGATTTGTGAAGGCAAAAAGGCAAGAAGATTACGATCCTGAAGCAATTGATCAAAGTTTCCAAGATTTTACACAGCAATTCAACAACCGTCTGACCAACTACGAATTCGGCCAATTAGAACAGCTTTGAACATAAGCGAAAGTCGAAACTAAAAGTACTTGGTCAGCACAATAGTTATGGTTCGTTTGGAGCCTGGGAATAGTGAAAGGAGGATAAGAGGAAATTACAAGATGGGAAATGAAAATAAACCGCAGCTCAAGTTTGCTGTTGTTGTTGTCTTTTTTAAATGAAATTTTCTCATTTTCCCTCGGTTTTCCTTGGGACGTAATATTTTATCCCAGTGGCTTACTTTATATTTTTTTCTGGGTATTTTTTAGTTTAGTGTGCCTTTACTATCATTTATTGCTATTAAAAAAAAAACAGAAAAACCACTACATCATCAGGTCTAACAGAGGTCCCTGACAGATACATGTAAGCTTTCAAAAAAAGGAACATCATTTACGTAGATTATTTAAAACATCCTTTTCTTTTATTCAATACCACTCACTCCAATATCATTTAAATAGTATGTTTTATTTTAGTCTTGGTCCCATGTTTTTCTCTGCATTCTTGAGGGACTGGGGAGTGGTATCCTTTGACATTTTAACTGTAACTGTCATGACAACTGGAAGTTAGTTACAACTTTGGGCAAGACATTGAAAATTGTTGTGCCATTAACCATCGAATACACTGAAGAAAACTTTTAAACAGTTTTCTTTTTCAATTGTTTTGACAATCTGTGAATAATGGATAATACAGGCTAGTCACAACATAGAACTGTATACAAAAATGAGCTAACACAAATGTTTGATTCCTTTCTAAAGGAACATTGTTTCTGTATCAATGAATTATTTGTCACAGACTCTCATCCCTCTAACAACCAAGCTCATCTCCACTCTAATCTATTTTAAAAGAATTATTCCAAATTAGAGACCAAATTTTAAACTCTCCATATATTTTAAACAATCTTGGATCATTCAGTTACATCTGTTGAGTAGAGTTTCCATTCCATGTGTTATTGTCGTCATCTTCATCATCTCTGTTGTGAAGCCGATGAATTCCGCCTTCTTTCTTTACAGATGAAACACCACCTGGGACTCTATGACGTACACCAGAACTGCCATGAAGAAAACAAAAAAAAAAAAAATTAAAAAAAAACAGCAAGAAGGTTGGCATGTAACCTTAGGAAGGAAGGAGTTTAGATATTGTTCATGACTGAATTTGACTAGAAGAGCATTTCTTTCATTACCTTTTGTTTTTGCTGTGTTTTTCTCATAAGATAGAAAAGCTTATGAGCCCAAATTCACAAGAAAGCAATATTCTACTTGCTGAAATGACAATCTAAAACAAGAGACCATCTTTGTTTTTGTGAAATTTGCAAATTGTGATAATTGAATATTTAGTACAGTCACCAGTGGAAAAATATGTGTACTTTCAAGCATTCACAAGTTGATTAATTCTACAAAACTTTTATCTGTCTAACAACAAGCCAAAAAACACAATGGACAATAAAATTGACTGTAAATAAGATTCTTCAAACTTTATATCTGGGAATTCTTTTTGCTTTTTCTTTTTTGGCTCTTGAGAAAAGAATTTCATTCTTAACACCAACAAGCAAACAACCAAACTAGTGTGATAAAGTTCAACAACAAACTATGCAGCAGTTTACAAAAGGCAAACCGCCAAAAAAAGACTCACTTTGATGGTTGTGACTGTGTGCTGTTGTTTGTTCTCTGTGAAGGAGGATTCTGTGTCCCTCTAGACTGATCAGGACTACCAAAGAGGAAAGCTTTCAGGAAGTTAATCAGTGTGAACAGAGGTGAAAGAATCCATAACAACAGTTCGGGGAATGATGAAGTCCCAGATGGAGTGAGGGAATTACTTCCTCTCTGTAAAATGAAAGTTTAGTATTGCTTATTTATCTTTTCAAGTTTTGGGAAATTTCTGAATGATGGGAGAATGTGGAAATTCACTCAAAGAATTTAAGGAAACATTTTTCACAAATACAATTATAATTAACCAATGAAAAATAAAAACAAACACAACAAAAGATTAAACATTTATTGGGATCGAAGAAAAAGCTAAAGTTGGTTTTATGTGGTACCCAAGCTTTCCTAAAACACAACCTTGCTTTGATTTCCTAAAGTTTTAACTTCCATTACCTAACTCTAAGTTACACAAATTAAACAAAACTCATTGGTAAGCCAGGCCATATGCCAGGTTCACATGAGACAAATATTCACTCTTTCCAATGGATGAATGTTTTAAAAACAACCTAATATTGATCTTAAACTTACCACAGCTACAATTAAAGTGGAACTTGGTGCCAGACCTAACTCAGCCAAACTCTTTAACAGGTCTTCTTCAGTCAGCTCCCGCCTAGGGTAAGTGGTGAACATTGTTATTGAGCTGGAACTGGGTCCTAGTTGCTGAGAACAATTGAAAAGATTCACATAATTAATAAAACTTATTTTCAGTAAATTTATTACCAATTTGGTCAAAAGATCTCACTTATGTTTTGGAGGGGTTGATGGCTGTGAGGACAATTGACAAAAATCAAATGGTCTTGAAGAGAATCTTTGATTGGACACACACAGGCAAGGTTGCAGATATTAAGAGTCTAATGCAGACCTAAGAATTGGGATATCTAGTCTGTTTAGGAGGAAGATTAAGAAAACTATTTCTGGCCCCTAAAATAAGAACCTAACAATTATAGTTCCAATACATTTAACACTGAATTCTCCTCTACTTATCTAGATAGAATTCTCTGAAAGCTCCTTAAATTTTGCTCATTTTTATAATTATATACACCTATGTGTTCTTGTAAAAATTAACTACTCACAGAGATGATATACTGTTGGATGGTCTCCAAAGGAGTATCAGGTGAGAAAGAGTTTGTTAACAAACTGCCATCTGGAAGACGAAACTGGAGCCGGGCAGAAATGCTAAGTAAAAACAAAAAGTCTCTGTTGCATGTACAGAGCAGTTAATAACAATACAATACAACAATGTATAACTAAAGTAATCATGGCTGATGTTATGAATCACATGTACTTTAATTACTTTTACAATGTAAGAGAAGGATATTCAAGAACTCTAAGCCTGTACAAATGATATGTTTCAGTGTATTTCTACTTTACTTACCACTCAGTCTTTCCCAACCCCTCACTGCCTCCAGTCATGGTAGTTGAAGGTGAGGGTGAGGCAGCTTGAGCACGCTGTCTCTCCTGCACCTCATTCTGTCGCCTAGCTTCCCTTTCTGCTTTATCTCTAGCAATCTGCTGCCGCACAGCTTCCCTGTGGGCCCGCTCTTTGGCTCTGTCTTCTTTGATTTGATTCACAATATTTTGTGCCTGTCTCTCTTCTCTGTCCCTTTTTGCTTTACCAAGTTCTTGTCCCTGATGACGTCTATCAAATTCTTTCTTCTTGGTTTCCTAGAATGCAAAGAATTCTCTTTATCATCTCTTCACTAGAGAAGATAACAAATTTGTATTTTGCCAAATCATAGTGCTAAAGCAGTGAGTGGTTTATAACATTTATTTCACTATTATGAACTCATTAAAAACTGAAACATAATTGCCTATTGGCTAGAAGTAAGACACTGGACTTCAGATTGAAAGGATCAGAAGGTCATTTTGTGGTGTTCTTAAGAACAAGACAATATATTCTCACAGTATCTCTCTCCACCAAGGTTTATAAACATTTAAATGGGGTACTGTCTGGGAAACATGAAAGAGTGCAAAAGGATATCTTGGAATGGACTACCTTGCTTTTGAGGGAATTTCGTAACTCTTAGTGATGTCATGCCCCAGAAAATGAGATAAGCTTGATGTTGGCTTATTAACAAAAAAGCTTTGCTTCAAGGGAAAAAACTGCTTAAAAAAGTCATGAAGTTCTGGACAAAATAAAAACATAACCTTAAGAAAACTTGAATAGGATTGATAATGATAAGAACAATAAAACTTACAAAAACAATAATACTGATAATTATTTTAATATGAACAATTATACTTCATATAATAATAATAATAATGATAAGTTTGTGCCTTAGAGAGAAAAATATTTGGAGATTGATTGATGACATCGTTCATTTTGAGAAAGTGTTCAAACAAGTACATGTTAGTGACTATATTTCACAGTATCTACTAAAAAGTTATTTCATCCATAATTTACAAATATCTACTAAAAAGATTAATTTACAAGTAGATAATTCATCCATAATTTAAGAATCTGACACAATCAACCATAAGTGCAGAGAGACTAAAACACCATGAGTTTTATTTAATCAACAACCAATTGACAAAAGAATACTTACAACTGTATTTAGATTAGAAAATTGGACTCACCTGATTTTCTGATTCCTCTTTCTCAAGTCTCTTCTGTTCAATAAGTTGCTTTGCTCTGCTCAACAACAGGAAGAAAGAGTTAAAATTCATAGTAGCAGTAACTTATGAATAATTGTTGACACTTTCGTATGTTGTATGTATGTAAAAATTGTCTTAAACTCAAGAATCTGAAATTGTTTGTTTAGGTGTTATCACAATCAACCATAAGATGGAGAAGAGTTCCAAACTGCCTACTGCTCTTACTTTTGAGACTAAAACATAAATACCATATTTTCTTGATAAAATGCAGCAGGCTTATATTTAAAAATGGGCAGGTTTGACCTGCTTCTTTGTGAGGCCATAATAGGGGTCTACAGTTGATTTACTGAAATGAAATTTTAAGCCATTTTTGCAAGGTGATTTATTATTACTGATTTGCAGAGACCTAGGAACAGTTTCTTAGTGCAGGACAATTTCTCCCTTTGTCATGCGCCTGGATTACCCAAAGTTACAGTATTATGGTACTGAACATATGGCATGTGTACCAAGTTGCAATCAAGATTTGTGTCCCTAACAAACAGAGCATAAACAAAATGTGAATAATGTAGGAGCAAGTAAATGATATGAGTACAAAGTTTTAATTAACTTTAGAAACAGCAATGTTGCCAATGTCCTCCTCGTTTTAATTAACTTTATAAACGGCAATGTTGCCAACGTCCTCCTTGTTTGTGTCAGCCAATGTATGGTACACAAATAATTTAAGTTTTTAATAATATACTAAACTTCATTCATTAAGTTTTTGTTTTCAAAAATGTCTGGCTCTTAATTAACAAAGGCCTCATTTTTATCTACAGGAGTGGCTTGTTCCAGCACATTGAAAAATGCAGCCACTCTTTCTGTGAACTCATGCTTTCCATTACTTAGTGGACCTACTGCCTTAAAATAGTGGATTTTCTCGTCCTCTGATCTGTTTATAGGCAAGAGACTACTACTTACTAATGACTGGTCTATGTGACCTCAGCTGCAAATAAACACCGGGACATTGATTAAATGCCAGGGCCCCCATTAAATGCATCTGGCATTTATTTAAGAAATTGGCAGTTTGAACCTGACATTTATTAGGGGTCTGGCACAACCATTCCTTGTATCAAGCCTAGCACCACAGGCTACTTTCTCAAGCTTATGTACATTGTGTAGATTGGTGGCCTGTACAAAACTTTTCAACAGAAATATGACTAACCTTTCTACTTTGTCTTCTAATAATTCCCCCTGTTGGTCTCTGCCATAAGGCTCCTAAGAATCAAACAATAAATGAATTACCAACAGTGGTTCATACTTTTCCTAAGTTTACAATCCTCAAATCCATTCACTTATGATTTTTTTTGTCTAAAAACTACATGTACAATCATAGCCTGGGCCAAAACCAACCATCTTCACTTGAAAAATTTCCAAAATAGACAATATTATTTAAACGGTGGACACTGGTAGAAATCATATCCAAACTTTTCCTGTTCAAGGGCATTGTCACATTCCTTGACAATGCCATAAATCTGCAAACCTTGGAATAAAAAAGAAGTACAGCTGTAGCTCATGGCCTTCTTAATTGAATTATCCAATTAAGCAACATGCTACTGAATGACAACTTCATATGTTAACTATCTCTACAGTAAATGGTTTGAACCTAGAGGTAACATGTAATACTGTTGTTAGAGACAAGGAATTAACTCTGATGATGATGATGATGTCAAAACTTCTGTTACCACTACCAACAACTGTTGCACTATATAACTGTCACCTTTCACACTCACACAGCACACACAACTAAGCAATTAGCAAAAGCACAAGCACTGCACTTTGTATAAATTATAATGATTTCCTAATAAATAAAGGTTGTCAGTTTTAACATAGAACTGAACAAGTTACACAACAGTCTTTCTCAGGACTACACTCACCTGAACAATCAAACTACACTATTACATGAACTATCTCATCTATTTTTTCCCACCTCTGATGGTCCTGGTCTAGGTTCAGTCTCTCTGTTAGAAACCTCTTGGTTCTGTTGTGATGCAGGCTCTACTGCAGGAGAGCTACTCACTGAAGACTGCTCACTTGAAATAGAAGCTTCACTGTTCTGAGACACAGTGCTTGATACAGGTTTGATTGAAGTTGACCTCAAGTGAGTCTAAAATGTAACAAAGCCCAAAATTCAAAAAGATAAAAATTGCACAACTAGATGGGTACAAAAAATTGAATACCTCAAGACAATTTACAATTATATAAGCTAGAAGGAAACTGCTTTGGCGGATGACACATTTTGTAACCTTTCCATTGATACATAGTTTACAATGGTTACCCATCAAATAGTGCAAATGTAAGTAAGAGGGTATTCCACATCCTGAATAAAAATATTTACAGTACCTCAAAAACTTTCTCTGCTTTTGTAACAAATTGGTCCACAGGAAGACTTCCACCAACAACCTCTAAAGGCAAACCACTTTCACCAATAAAATATGTGGCAGGAATGCAAACTAGAGGGTCTTCATATTTAAGATGGCAAGTTAAGGCCTCTTTTACATTGCATCAAAAAAGTATTTTTGCAAGCAGCAATATGATTAAAATTTCCTTAGGATCTGAATGTGAATATAAACAATTGACATAATAATAATAATAATAATAATAATAATGATGATAATAATAATATCAGTAAATTACCTTTTGGAAGAGTTGATTGGTCATTGAGCTCTCATTTGGTTGCCTAACAATCACCTGAGAGTTACACATTAAATTTATTGACTATATAACTAGGAGTGAGTTATAAATGTATCAAATTAAAGCATATTTTAATGCAGTTTTTACCATTAACCATTCCAAGCAGTTCAGCAATGTTTGGGCACTTAAAAGAATATGATAATCCTATGGTGTTTCCCATACATGTGTATCTTTAAAAAAGAGTCTACAATTCTTTAGATACATCTACAACAGTTTTCATCACATGTGACTTCTATGTTTTCAAAGGATACAAAGTTTAGAAAACTGCTTGCAGTCCTCGCTAAAGTAGATCAAGAAGAAAGTAAAAGACTGAAATTTTCTGACTGAATTATGTTGCTAAGCAAAACATATTAAGTGTAATCATTTCCCTAAAAACTGAAAAATGCACAACCATAATATTGGGGATGCTCTCTCAAATGCAGAGATCTCAACTCACATGTAACCTCTGTATTTACACATTCAAGTAAGTTCATTTGCAGCCATATTCACTTTAAGGGGTTAGGTTTAAGTGATTAGCAGCCATGAGCAAACATTACAATTTCTTAAACTGCTCTGGCGGCTGCTTACAGGCAGCATTCTCACAAATAGTTTCAGTATGACACCTTTTCAGCATCTTTGGGGAATCTGCTCCTAGAACTTCTATTATTCAACTTAAAAAACAAAAAAGCCTACACCTGACAGGAAGTGGTAATCTACAGACTGTACAAAAATACATACTTTAGATGTAGACAAAGATTGCACTTTAAGACTACTGCAGCTAACCATTGCAAGTAAAAGATTATCTCTGTGGCTTTAATTGTAAAAATAAGTTTCACAGAAAATACACAGAAGTGTTTCTGTACCTGTTTAGGGTTAATATGGTGTGTGTTAGTAGTATACTGGTGTATCAATTGGTTACTGATAAATATTGCATTATAAATAAATAAATTCTGCATTCCAAAAGAAAAATTGTATTTTCTACTGAGTAATTACCTCTTGTGATCCAATTTTATTGCCACACATTTCTCTCTTGAAAATATCCCTGCAATCTGAATTTAACAATCATTAGCTTTTCCTATCACTTATTAGTAAAGCTCTTAAATTTTAGTTTAGTGCCAGGTATGAAATTTTTATTTTTACTATTATGGGAATTATGGAGCAGAGGGAATTCTTATCCAAAATCCACTCCCTCTTTTCCTGACAAATGCAAGAGTGTGGCTCTTTCTTGCAACCATAATACTTACTAAAGTTTGGAAGAAGCAAATAAAACCAACAACAAAACAAACAAGCAATTCATCTAAGTTCTACAAATCTTAAGGAGGATCTGAGAGGATTGAAATTACATGTACAATAACATGTACCTTGGGATCTTCCCATGTTGAATTCATTCTGATTGTTTCTTCATTATCTCCTGTAAAAGATTTGATTGGATCCAAATAAAATGATTACTTTTTAAAATTTTTTGATCCTTGTTCTACAAATCTGGCTTCATTTCAATTTAGCAATAACTCTGAAGAAAATACAATTAAGCATGAAGAAAGGTTTAGTCATAAGAAGTGTTATCAGATGCGAGGCCCAATGCTTTATCACATCTCTTGAAATATTGAGAAAAATAGTTAAATCTAGCACTCCCAAGATCCAATAACTGATTCTCCCCAACGCCTTTCATACATTTCCTTGTGAAAAACACAAGAGAATTTGGTTTTAACCCTTCAACTCCCATGAGTGACCAAGACAGAATTTCTCCTTTCAATACAATATCAAGCAGACAAGCGATGGGAATAACGAAAAATACAAATTACGGTTAATTAGTTGATCCAGTACCAAATTTTCCAAACCAACATCATAAGAATTGTATGCCATACAATTATGAGAATTACCGATGAGATCCTAGGAGTTAATCAAGTAACACCCTCTCTGATAATTTGGCGTAAATCGAGAGGAGATTCATTTAAGGATCTCAGTTAGATCAATTTGGGAGGAGAAAATATCTTAAGAATCATTTACGAGTTTTGCTTAAGTACAATTACGGAAAGAAACTTACAAGATTCACTAAAAAAATCGTACACCTCTTACCTTCAATATAAACGATAAACACTATTCCTTTCTGTCTAGATTCCAAAATGGCTTCTGGAATACTTCCCGTAAACCACTGCATGTTAATTTTCGAGCTCTTTGATTTGGTGAATGCGCTTTTCAATCAGAGAAAACCGAAATCATCTGATGAAAACTACACAGTACGTGTCTTTCTCTTTTGGTGCCGAGCAAAGACTTGGTAACCGAGCGATCGGGTCAAAATAATGATCAGTGAAGGGGGAGCTGGAGGAGGGAGGGAGGGAAAGGATATATTTCACAAATGAGTTTCAATTTTTTTTATCCCAATATTTGGGCCAGTAGTTTCCGAGAGACTTAGATAAATTATAAAAATACTTATATTTCAAGCCACAGTATGTAAAAATCACGCAGCTTTTGAGTTCATATGGACAGTGAATTTGTTTCACTCATCCCTCTCCCCAGATGATGTGAAAGTTTCGCGAATCCAAGATGGCCGCCACCGTTACAAGAAATCCCTGCTTCGTGAGGGGCCTGTCTGCGTTTGTTTGGCAGTGCCGCCCACCGAATACTACATTGAGTTTGTCCAAAACACAGCTGAGATGGAAGGGACACAGTGAATGGCAAAATAGAAAATACAAAAAAGCACACATTGACTTTGCGCGCAGCAAAGAGTTTGGAAAATTATCTCTCGAAATCATCACAGCGGTGCGCGGTAAGATAAAATTAGTCACTCTCTTTCCTGGCAGATAAAAACAGCAAATGATAAAAACACTTTAGGTGATACTAAATGACTGAAGAGTGCGGTTACACACGTATAATGTCAGCGGTCAATGGATCTCAGAGATTAAGAGGTTACTAGCTGTCATATTTAACACCTAATATGACTTCGAATTAATCAACATTTAGGTTCTCCTTATATTTCAATGCATAATTAATGTTACAGGTGATGAGAATATGCATTATTGTCAGCTGGACTAAGACAAATTATGATAAACTCCTCATTTTGTTACTCCTTTAACCTTTTAACTCCCATGAATGACCAAGACAGAATTTCTCCTTACAATATCAATACAATGTCAACCAGATAAGTGATGAGAATAAAGAATAAAGAATAAATAAATTTGGGGATAATTAGTTCATCCAGTATTAAATTCTGTGCACTAAAACCATGAAAATTATACGGTTGATAGTAAGGAGAGTTACAAATTTGATCTGGGAGTTAAAGACTTAATGGAAAAACTGGTCAGGGGTTTATGAGATCCTGGTAATGATAGAATTAACCCTTTAACTCCCAAGATCTGATTTTTAATTCTCCCCACAAGCTGCTTTACATTTCCTTGTAAATTAGTTGTGAGTATTTGGTGTTGGAAAAAGACAACAACTTCAACTTGATAAATTTCGTATTCTTATTACCTGTGTGGTGGATAATGTATAGATATCATAGAGAGAATTTACATAGTAATTACTTCTGGGAGTTAAAGGGTTACCCTAAGTTGTGATCCTCATAAATTATCAATGAGCTTGATTATTGCATGGTGTGGAATGTTTTCAAGGGCATTGATTCTTGTTTCTAATGTCCCCATGTTCCTGTTCTTTGAAGGTTCTTCTGTAAACTTTAATGCTGTTTTTATTGACTATAGAGAATGGACAAGATGTGCGCATGAATCCTCGCTTGGAGAAACTTGTTGAAAAAGCTAGATTAATAAGCATGCCTAAAAATACCATTGATAAGGCAATCAAAACTGGAGCAGGGGTAAGTAAAACTTTCTTTGGATGATATCTTCACATGATTATGCCAACACTACAATGATTTTTAACTGACATAATTACTGGTGAGCTTGAACGTTTTATATCATTCATCCAAGTGTCCATGCTGACAACATAAAAAAAAGGTTTTGATTGTCTTTGAAAATGGCAACCAACTTTTGAATTGGCTACCACTTTGAAGAATTTAGGAGCCAAGTGGCTATCAGAAAAAAAAATTGATTTGACGCCCTGTCACTGTATCAAATAGACTATTTTTTCAAATGGATATTCTGACTCGTTTCTTCAGATCTGTCGAAATTAGGTAAATGTGACCATATGTTACTGATTTGCAGGTTTTGTACTGATTTGTTTCTAGACAAAGGACAACCCCTTTGAGACGGTTTTCCTTGAAATCAAAGGACCAGGGGGTTGTGGACTTCTTGTACAACTGCTAACAACCAATAAAGTAAAAGCAAAGTATGAAATGAACAGAATTCTACGGAGGAAAGGGTAAGTGTTTAGTATCCCTGGTGAATTCTGCCTTGATCTGTGCAAATGACAGAAATATTATCTAACACTTTGACTCCTCAGAGTGACTAGCATCTAATTTCTCCTTACATGAGCACCCCTGAATCACCCATTAAGGTCATGAGAGTAAAGGAACAGATCACCATCCTAGGAAGCTCTTGAGTGTTCAACAAACTCTCCTTATCAGCACCTTAAGAAATGCTTAATGACAAGTATGGAAAATATGCATACGTATGTAGTATATAAAGGTGTAGAGTTAGGACAGCTTAATGTACTGTATATACCCTACTATTATAGACTCACCTTAGCCTCTTAACCCTTTCACTCCCAGGAGTGATGAACATGTAATTTTTCCCTAGTACTTCTATACATTATTTAGCAAACAGGTACAGAGGATACTCAAAGTTATCGGGTACAAGTTGTGATCTTGATCTAACTCCAAATTCTTGAACTAATTTACAAGGAAATGTGTAGCAGCAAGAGGGGAGAATTATTAGTCAGATCTTGGGAAGGGTCAAAGATATATTGTACAAACATTAATTTATTCAGATACCCATGATGTGATATGTAGAATTCATTAAAAACCTAATATTATAAAGATATTCTAAAACCATATGACTTGTGGGGATGTGTCATTTCATTTTTTCCAAAAGATAGCTTTTGTAGGAGTTCCATTTTTTTGGAATTTTCAGGGGTGTGTCTAAAGAGGCAGGATCAGTGCCTTTTCTTTACGATCACAAAGGTAACACCTGGAGGCTTTAACTGTTACAACTGGGCACTAGAGTATTTTTTTCTCTTCCTGCATGAGATGCCAGTCCAGTCCTTAGCATTTTGTCATATTCCCCAAACAGTTTTAAACCTATTTAAACTGTGTTCAGGAGAGAAGTAGTGTAAGGGCAAAGTTTCTTGCTCAAGAACTCTCTATGGTGCTGATTAGCTAGGATTTAGTGCAAAATCTAAGTTTACTCTATATTAAAACCTACTACTGGAAGTCTGTACTTTTTCTTTCAACTATGCAGTGCTTAAGTCTCAAGCACTATGGGGGAACAATTTGCTACTGACAGTAACTAAAAATTATTGTGAAGTAATTGTGATTAATGTATTTACTCATTTTTAATCAACCAGGAACAATAACCATAGAAGATTTTCTTTTTACGGAGGAAAAACGCAAGTTACCTGATTATCCTGATAATGAAAGTATTGAAAGGGTAAGTCACTTTTGATTTAACCCTTTAACTCCCAAGATCTCATCAGTAATTCTCCTTACTATCTGCCATATAATTCTTGTGATGTTAGTTCAGAGAATTTGGTACTGGATCAACTAATAATCCCTTACTTTATATTGTTTTTATTCTCATCGCTTGTCTCCTTGATATTGTATTGATATTGTATTGATATTGTAAGGAGAAATTCTGTTTTGGTCACTCATGGGAGTTAAAGGGTTAAAATGTGAGTCTGTCTTGATAGAAAAGCTAAAACATGATGATTTTCTTCATTAACACTTTAAACCTTAAGAGTGACATGCATCAAATTTCTCCCCACAATATCACCCATTGAATCACAAGGTCATGAGAATAAATGAAATGATCACCAATGCAAGAAGCTTTTGATTGTTGAACAAATTCTCCTTGTCAGCATCTTAGGAAATGTATAAAGAGCAGTATGGAGAATATGCATACTGATTTTAGGCTGTAAATAGGGTTAACTGCTACATGTATCTGTGTAAATTTGAAGTGTGCTCTGCCTTGTTTGGTTTGGCTCCTGTTGGACAAAAAAAACAGAATTTGTTAATATTAGAGTTCATTACCGATCAAAGTTATAGTACAAATCCACTTTACACAATATGCATACAGTAGAGGCTAAATACTGGTAATATTTAAATCAAGATTTGTGTCCTCTGTAGGCCGAAGAAATAGCAATCGAATGTGGGGCAGAGAATCTGTTCTTTAGTGAATCTGAAAATGGAACAAAAAATATAAAGGTATGACAGTGTGAAGGGCCCAAATCACTGATACTTGTGGAAATTGTACATATTACAGTTTACATCTGGAACTGGACTTTTTCATGAAACATTGAAATTCCTACTAACTTCTACAAGCATAATGAAGTAAAGTAAAAGTAAAGTGAAATTTATTTAAAACAGGGTGGCCCATTCAGCGACAAGGCTGTTGTCCAGAGGGGCCATGTATATACCTAAAATCATTACAATATTAAAATCAATTACAATTGACACTTGTAGTCTAAAAACTTGTGGTCTAAAAAAACAAAAAAAAAAAACTGCAATATCTACAATTGAATTCTAACAAACACTTGTTGGCTAGGACCTTATAATATTATTTTTAAAAAAATTAATACATAGGTAGAACTGGATCTAAATTACAAGATAAGAAATAATTAAACATGTAGCACTTTGCAAAAGTCTATGCAAAATTGTGTTTCATCACTAGTTGCTTAAACTCCTTCAAAGACACTGCCAGTATTTACATGATATCATTCTTTGTTTATACGGCCAAGTATTTTCTGTACAGTCTTTTGATTTGACAATGTTGTTGTTGTGAATATGAAAGTGATCTTTGCAGTCATGAACACTACTTGACCAATAGTGAAAATAAGGCCTGAAAAAAATTCAGGCCTGTGCAGCGGTTGTTTTTTTAAGGTATTAACTGACACTTCAATGTATTATTTGAGAGTGTTTTCCAAGTCGAGTAGTAACTCTTTCATACAGTCAGTCAGCCTAAACAATCTTTAACAATCACAAGATTTCAAATGAGTTTTTTGTAAAACACCCACTGTTTATTTGTGTGGCTGTTTTTTTAAGGTGATAACCAACGCTTCAATGTATTATTTAAAAGAGTTTTCCAAGTCGAGTAGTCACTCATTAATACAGTTGGTCAACGTAAACAATCTTTAACAATCACAAGATTTCAAACAAGTTCTTTGTAAAACACCCACTGTTTACTTGACGTATTTACCAGAAAAAAACACAAAACATAAAAAAAAAAATTGTTGATGTGTTCATACGATTCTTTCCATTATTACTATTATTGAAACCCTGAAATGTCCCATCAAGGTTGCCTCACCTATTTAAATCCCTTGCACCTTCTGAAGGGATATTTGTCTTATGATAATATTGTTTCACCCTGTAAAAAGTCCACAAATCAAGAATTATATTTCTCTTTCACAATGCATGATCTCCATCACTTCGAATGAAGAGTGCTCCCTGGCAGAGTAACCACAGGAGTTCTAACCACTAGTTATTTTACTTTGTTTTCAGTTCATCTGTGCATTGGAAGATGTGAAACAAGTTTACAATGACTTATCAAACAGGTTCCCTGATAGATTTCTTTCATCAGAACAGGAATACTTACCACGAAAACTTGTTTCTTTGTCTGAAGAACCTTTACAGCAAGCAAAAATACTGATTGATAGCCTGGAAGAGCACTTGGATGTAGTGAGAGTATATGATAATATCAAGGAGTTTCCAAGTCACACTTGCAAGTTGTTCTGTTCCACATGACAGATCTCTCCCAACTTTGGAGTTAATGCAACCTGCCGTTTGTAAGCCCCCCAACTTAAGCTATTCTGGTTTTGAGAGATAGGATCTTGGTATAATGTGACATCTTGAAGGTTAACCCTTTAACCCCTAAGAGTGACAAGCATCTAATTTCTCCTTACAAGATCACCTCTGATTCACATATTCAGGTCATGGGAATAAAGGAAATGATCATTACGTAAAGGAGCTTGCGATTGTTTTACAAATTCTCCTTGTAAGTACCTTAGGAAATGTATAGAGAACAGTTTAGGAGTATATGCAAACTGATGTTAGGGTGTAAACGGGTAAACCAGTAAATGCAAAACATATTTTGATCCACACTGCTCTAGCTTGTTATCAAGTGCTTTATCTATTCCAGTTATAAGCCCCCTCAGATATTTCTACAGGGTTCTAAAACTGCTTACCAAGTTGTTCAAGTCCAGGGCTTATAAGTAGTAGTTTATCATATCTAACAGACTGGAAATGTTTAAAATTTCAGGACATGCCTGAGTTAAATTGGCATAATTATAACCAAGCCATTTGTGAGGGGGTTTATTTGTTAAAGGCAGAGGTTCACTTAAAAATTATTTGGTAATAAAATTAACAAAGTTTAGAGGAGGAAAATCTAGTACAGATTATAAGACCAAGATCGAGCAAGAGAAATAAAGATTTTGTGATAGCCTCTTAAAATTAATAATGAAAGTTGGGAAATATTTTGCAAATTATGCTGCATTTGGTAATGTAATGTTTGTATCAAGGGAGTGACTGTAAGGTTGGCCTGAGTCCTATAAACTGGAGCAGAATGAAAAAAGAAAAAAGAAAGAAATCTTCCCACTCAAATCCCCCTGTTGTAAATATATCAGGTTATTAATCACTTTGAAAATGGACAACATGACTTGAAGCAAGGTTGTATGGCTGAACCCTTAAACTCCCAGAAGTGATTAAAGTGAAACTTCTCCCTATAATATCCATACATTATCCAGCAAAGAGCAGATGAAGATACTCAAACTTCACAGGTAGAAGTTGTTATCTTGATCTTATATCAAATTTGCAAAACTTATTTGTCAGGAATTGTGTAAAAGCTGAAGGGGAGAATCAACAATCAGATTTTAGGAGTTGAAGGGTTAAGGAAATCTGGAAAATCATGAAGTTACAGTGTCATTTTTCCAGGCTGGAAAGCCTTTGAATTTTTCTTTTCCATGTAGGTCATAGAGAGTCATGGAAATTCAATGAAAACCAAGGAAAATCCTTGGTTATAACCAGCTTGGTGGTACTGCCTCAGTGGCTATTTATCATCTTGTAGCCAATGGGAGCTCATTGAATAATTGTTAAGTGATAAAATCCCATTAAAATGTGTTATTTTAACAATATATTGTTTTGAATATAAATACTGTCTTCCAACGTGCAAATTCATCATCCTACAAAGTGTAAAATTTGCTGCTTTTACATGGAAAGGATTCTCACTAAAACAAAAGGAGAATAAGGACAGGAGCATTAATTCACTGAAGACTATATGCGATTCAAGTAGAAGACACGAGCAAGCCCAAGGGGAGGCCTGGGGTGCATGTTCCCTGATAGAATGTTGGGAAGTTAAAGACTGAAAACCATTTCACAGATTCTTACACGTTCAAGGAGTGTGCCACTCGGTTAGCAAGGTAATAAAACTACAAACTAGAGATCACTGAAGCGCTGAAACATATGTATGGAAGACTCTGGGTGCATTCCTTTGGGAGGATCCGGATTAGGATTTGTGATCCAAGATCACATAGATCACAGTACCTGAAAGGAACGGAGTTTTAAACGAGCTCTCAGAGAATTCCAAAAAGTGCGCTATTTTAAGACTTGTGTATGCTTGTCTCACTGTACGGGCTCTTAATTAGCACTATTCATTAGAAGCACATTTTTTCATAGTAAACTCAAACGATGGAATCAAGGGTGCGTTTTTTGGAAGAATCCAGATCAGGATTTTTGATCTGTGGCGTTAATTATTCCTTTCGAGCAAATCCATTTTCAGATCCGTGATCTATCAAAACCACTCTAGACAAGGATTTATCGGATCACTGATCTGCGTGACTAAGGGTGCGTTCCTTTGGGAGGATCCGGATTAGGATTTGTGATCAAAGATCACATAGATCACGGTGCATGAAAAGAACGGAGTTTAAGACGAGCCATTCAGGGAAGAGCTCAATAACCCACGTACATACACAAGTCTTAAAATAGCGCACTTTTTGGAATTCTCTGAGAGCTCGTCTAAAACTCCGTTCCTTTCATGCACCGTGATCTGTGTGATCTTGGATCACAAATCCTAATCCGGATCCTCCCAAAGGAACGCGCCCTTAGACGAGCTCTCGGAGAATTCCAAAAAAGTGCGCTATTTTAAGACTTGTGCATGCACGTGGGTTATCGAGCTCTTCCCTGAATGGCTCGTCTAATTGCACGGGCCTTTAGCGCGCACAATTTTTCTAATTAGCACTATTCATTAGAAGCACATTTTTTCATGGTAAACTCATGGAACTAAAACAGAAGCAAGTATTGATTACGATATGGATACTTGGGAACCCTGAATGCCAGCGATCAGTGGCTGATCGATTTAACACTACAAAATCGATTTTATTTCGTGTTTATCGCAGCGTGCGGCGTGGAGTGTGGAGTGTGTTGCGATTGCTAACAATCTTTCCGGTCAATATATGAACCACCTACATGTTTGAAATTGAGCAGCGCTGAGCAAAATGATTAATTTCGGATCCTCCGCCTGAACGAAACGCGTTAGATCAATGATCCGATGAATCCTTGTCCAAAGAGGATTTGATAGATCACTGATCTGAAAATAGATTTGCCCGAAAGGAACGCCACAGATCAGAATAATTCTGTGATCTGAAATTCTCCCAAAGGAATGCATCCTTTTGTACATGATCTGAAAAATAATGGCCTGGTGGGGGGTCTGCAGATCCCATCCAGGCTTTTCATTTTGTCTGCAGATCAGGCTTTATTTTGGCAAGTAAGTGCTCAGTATTTTCTTAATGAAAATTTTGCCTACCATCTTTGATTTTAATGGCAGCAGAAGACTGGGGAGAGAAGAAATTTATGCCAAGGGGAATGGTAAAAATAAAGGGGAAGGCAAAGGTGGGGGTAGGGGAATGAAGATTACACTATCTTCTTGCCTGTCCCCAGCCCCCACCATCCACTCCAACTCCAAATCAAACATGGCTGGTTGGATAAACAATCCCTTGAGATTGTGCACTTATGACATTAGCTCACCCCAATAAGATGCCTGCATTGCAGGCTAAGACCTGCATAAGCTTCAGCCCACTTAGCTTGGGGACAGACTTGGCCTTTGACAAAAAAAGGAGCAAATACATTTACCATTATGGGATGCTGAAGTAACTTTCAAGCAGGTAGTCTACACCTAAGCTTTAACATTAACTGCCCAACAATATTCTAAATTTCTTTTCAGTCAGTTACAAGGCTGTCAATGAGTTTCGAAGTTATAGGCAGTTAAGAAAAAGTAGGTGGCCAAATAATAGAGCATGAGACAAACTGAAATTGAAATTTCAACTTAACAGAACAGCTGTATATTATTTTTTTCATGCAAAAGCAAATGACCCCATTGTTTTACATAGTTACTCCTAGATTGAAAAACTGGAGGTCCCAGCCTCAAATCCTCCTCTCTTTCACACAACTGGATTTGGTTTTTAGTAGTCCAAAGATTGGATTCTTTACTATGCCTTGAGAATTAATGATGAAATAGTTTCCCCTTTACCAGTAAGATCTTCATAAAAATGATAAATTTATATCTATGTTCCATTTACTCGATTTTGTTGTACATTCATAGTGTACCCAATTAGCTTAAGGGTACTTCTTTAGAAAAAGAAATTATTTACTTAAGGTTCCACTGGATCTCAAAACCAAATAACAGAAAGTTGCTTGTTTTGGATGGCTTCAAAGGCATTATCTTAAAGCCATCGGTATACAGTGCACTAGAAAAGTGCATGCATGTTATACTGAAAAATATGTGTAATTGTACATGAAGCAAATCACCAATCTAAAACAATACTTGAGCTCTGTAATGCTTTTGAAGTTTGTTTGCTTTGACTGAGATATCTACTGTTCTTTTGGCTTGCTGCTTGTTTTGTAGCCTGACATCTTTGACTTTTTGACGTGATACACTTCCAATGGTGCCATGCCAACCAAGGGCTTTATAATCAGCAACAATTTTGTGGATCACTTTTGAATGACGACTTCTTTCTGGAGGCAGGCTTTGCTTGTAGATATGACGCAAATTACGGTGACCAATTTTAGCTCCTGAAGGCAAGCAAAGTTCCAATGTCTGTTCATCAACTGCTAATGTGTTATCTCTTTCAATTTCATCGCTGCCATTTTCTTCATTGGGATCATAATCAGGGTAACTACTGGTGAAATCATAAAAATCAGCATACTCCAAAATAGCATCTCCTTCATAGTTGATTTTTGTGTGGCCCTTATCAACCATGTGCTTCTGTACAGCTTCGGTAGAAAAGAAGTTCTTTCCCTTCTCATTGCAATAAAGACAGATGTTGCCAATTCCAACCTTTTCACCAAGGTAGGTTAGAAGTCCTTTGAAGTCTAACACAAATTCCAAGTCAGGTATGAAAAAGCTATGAGATCGTGTCATGTGTCTCATGTTGTCTTCCAAACTGACGCTGTGATGCGGACAAAACAGACAATCTGTGATCTCCAGCGCTTCTTCCTCAAAGTCACTGCCATCATCGTCATCTTCATCACTAGATGAGTCGGCATTTTCAGAGATACTATTCTGTTTTCTTATCTCTTGCCTCTCCAATTCTACTTTTTCGGCTGAAAGACCTTTCCTCGTCATAATTTCCTCCTTTCTAGCTTTAGCGGTCTCCAATTCTTTATGTTTCTTGGAACTCATGTGATTCGTAAAGGAATTCTCAGAGGAGAAAGTCTTGTTACAAAGCTCGCAGTTCATCGTTTTCGTTTTACTCTGCTGTTGTGCCTCAGCTTCGGCTTTTTGCTCGTTAACTTTTTGCTGGAAGACTTCTGCGGTAACAGGAGGCATTTCTGCGACTTTTCTCTTGAGATTGTACCGATGCCAGTCGGTTTTGTAGTGACGACGTTGAATTTCACCATCGGCAAAAGCAACGCGACATGTTATGCACGTAAACAACGGCATTTTCGCGTTATCTTACCTTTTAAAAACTCAGAGGAATCTTTTATAATCAGATACTCCTGGAAACAAGCGTAAAGATAATTCGGGCAGGGGTGAACAGGCAGAAAAACACAGAACTTCGATTACCTTCTACCATTGACACCAACGTGGTGAAATCCTTACGCAATATTGCAATGATATCTGGGTAATGTGAGTTGAGCCGCACAAATATCAGCGGTGTTATTAGTCATGGCGGCCATTTCGAAGATGAAACTTGTGTACATCCGGTATAAACTCATTTATTCCCCCTAGCTTTGATTGATAACAAAATAGATGTCAGCGGGAGGCTTAACAGCGGATCAAAGGAGGAGAATTGAAGAAAATCGTCGAAAAGCTCTCGAGAAACGAGCGGCTCTTCAAAGCCAACGACAGCAGCAAATTGCGCCGTCAGTAACGGATGGAGCTGATGGCAAATTTGCTTCGAGTCGTATGGTTACAACCTCGAGAGAGGAACGTTGTCTATTTCCTCGGGGCAGCAGTATAAAGTCAAGAGAACCACAGAGACAGATATCTTTGCAATCTAGAGAAAAATCGAGCTTGAATAGCTCAAACGTAAATTCACAGAACAATTCAGCAGACTCAATGGCCTCTGCATCTAAAACCTACAACTCAGCAGGATCGCTAAATTCTTTTCAACGCTCGATCTCCAAATTTTGTCGTCCGCAGACCTCTTCCTCTTCATCCGCAAGAAATTCCGAAACCAAATTCACTAGTCCGTGTAAATCGTCTGGGGCTACAGCAACCACGACTAAATCAACTTTTTCAAAAATAAGCCCAAGAGCAGGAACATCAAAGCCAAATACTGGTAACGTTGTGAATTTTAAGGAGAATTCAGAGAAGCCAGTGAAGGGTAACTGTACACTGATTAGCAGACAGAGATTTACAGTTGTTGTTCCTTATCAAGCACAACTCATTGGAATTTTTAAAACTTTACCAAGCAGAAATTATGGTATGTTGACTTTCACGGTTAGTTTTCTTAACTGTAACCTGCAAACAGAGAGAATTACCACAAGGAAGATTTGGATGAAGATAGGAAATTGTACTAGGCTCTGATTGATATCTTACACTCTCTCCTAAATGGCCTCAGTGATATTTCATGCTTAAGTTCTACAACGGTTAATCAAAAAGTGAACTCAACACATGCACATCTTTTACCCACATAAACATTGCTTAGATGTTGTCCATTCCCAAGCATCAACACTTACTTCCTTATTTATCTCTATTTTTAGATGCAAAGACAATGCAGTGGGACTTCTCTTTGACAGATTATGAAAAGCTCAGTATGTTAAACCAGGATTTCTTAATTATCATCTTTCTTTGTTAACTGTAATTGGTTTAATTATGTGGTACTGATCCTCTTCCCAACTCTATGGTGTATTAAATGAATGAACCAAATCACACTAAGGTGCTGGTCTAAAAACCTTGAGGCTGACAAAGGTTTTGTTGAAATTTCTGGGCTCAATTGTTCAAAGGCTGATTAGCACTAACCCAGGGTTAAATTTAATCCAATTTTTTATTCCTCTGCTCTTAAGCCTTTTTTGGGATAACTTTCTTTATCCAATCATCAAATTATAGAAAAGAGAGTTATACCAGTCTAAATTTCCTTTAAAGCTTTCAAATCTGAAATCGGAATTCACAGAAACCCTGGATTAACTTAACCCAGATTTGAACAACCCAGCCCTAAACCAAAGAGATGGATTGAAGATTCACCTTACTTCTTTTTGGAGTGGTGAATATCCTGCTAATATTTACCTTCAGTAAGTTAATCAGTGAATGTAGACATGATAACCTGAGGTGTGATCCATTATTGGTTTTTTATTTAATTGATGTGCTTGAATCAAACAGAAGTTTACTAGCCCTTGCTAATTTTCAACTACAGTTTTAACAGCCTTAATTCTTTACTGTGTTCACCCTTTGTTCTATTGCGAGAGGAAGGTAAAATTGTCCTTTAAACTCTATACGGATATGATAACAGAAATCAAGTGTGATCTATTCAACAGTGCAAGCAGTTCAGTCTATGCCCCCTCATATTACAGTGGAAGGATTACCTAAAGCAGTGAGGTCAACTTTTTTAACTGCTACTCCAGGCACTCTGAAGGAATTGCCAACCAGTGATATCAATTTAAACTCTGTGGATTACAAGCTTGTTAAAGCACTGATGCCATTTCAAATAGAAGGAGTTAGGTCTGTTTTGTTTGGTTTGTGTTGTAGTTATAACAAATGTAGAGTTGCATTCCTTGTCAAAATCATGACAAGATCATAAGATGTCACCAGAAGAAGATACAGCAGTTTTTTTGCTCATAAGGTACACTGTTTTTTTCCAAGAAATTTATGTTTCCTGTTGAAAATTACTGTCAAAGTTTGGCTGTGTCTTATAGGCAAATGTTTTTTGGGAAACATAGGTTTCTGATTGCAGCTGTTATTTCTATTTTAAGCTAATATGAAGATAAGTGTCCACTTTGCTTTGACCATTTTTCAGCAAACAATGGTGATCATAAAATTTTGTACAGTAACTAGTAAATAGAAAAAAATAGTATGACTCAAATTGTTACACAAATGTGGACATGTTTAATAACACTTAGAACTGCAGACAGTATGACTGGATGGAATGTTAAGCCATACATCAAAATTCATGCACTTCTGAGGATTTCCAAGAATAACCTTAAGAATTAGGAATATCTCTTCTACCCATAACTTGCCTCTTAAATATTCTGTTTTATATTCTTTTCATTAGTTTTGGAATACGCCATGATGGAAGAGTGTTGATTGCTGATGACATGGGTCTGGGAAAGACTATTCAAGCAATCTGTGTTGCAAGCTATTATCGGGCTGAGTGGCCACTTCTTGTTATTACACCATCCTCACTCAGAATAACTTGGCAGCAGGTACTTAGACAAGTGCAGTATTACAAGGAGAAGGAGATATCTAATTGTTAGAGGGAAGGAAATCAGTTTGAAATTGAGGGAGGGTCACTAATGTTATAGCAGAGGAAAAGGCATGACTTTATTAATTTATACATGGCTGATGAGTTTGAGGATGAACAGAAATCATTGATATTCTTCTCTATTCTCATCACCTTCCTGCTTGATATTGTATTGATATTGTAAGGAGAAATTCTGTCTTGGTCACTTGTGGGAGTGAAAGGGTTAAGGAGGAAGAAGTTAAAATAAGTTTGAATGTGGCCTCTCTCTTTGTGCACCAGCCACTCACCAAACAATTTGGTTCTTAAATCAATTTGAGCAACCCTTTTGCAATGAACTATTTGACAGGTACACCATTTTTTTTGTTTTCTTTTTAATAACCCCTCTAGTTGGAAAGATGTTAAGATTTTTTATCAAAAGATTTAGAGAAAGGTGTGGACTCATGAGGGCCTTATGGTAAATGCTTTACACAAAGATTTTTTATTTATTCTATTTCGTTTGCAGGCCTTTATCAAATGGCTTCCCACTGTGGACCCAGCAGACATTAATGTAGTCCTTACTGGAAAGGACAATCCCGCCGCTGGGCTTATCAATATAATAAGTTATGATCTCATGTCTAAATGTGTAGAGGAGTTGAAAAAGAAACAGTTTAGAGTCATTATAGCAGTAAGTCCTCGTCAAGCTTAAAGTGTAATCGTTGAAGATGTCACGTATATTACTTAATTATGTTCTTTCTTACAAAGAAAGTCTTGAAATCTATTTGTAGGAAGCACTAAGTAGATACAGAAACATTGCTGTCATAGTTTAAGCATCAATTGGTAAATGAGTCTATCATCTAGACAGTCAGTTTGTCAGTTAGTCAATCAATTAGTCAGTCAGTTAGGTAGGCAGTTGATTAGTCAGTCAGGCAATCAGCCAGTCAATTAGTTGGTCTATTAGCTACTCATTCTGTAGTCAGTCATTCAATCAGTCGGTCAAGTAATCAGTCAGACAGTTAGTTGCTCAGTTAGTTGGTGTATTAGTCAGGCAATCAGTCTGTCATTCAGTGAGGCTGTCAATCAATCACCAGTCAGTCAGCCAGTCAATCAGCAAGTGAATCAGTCAATCAGTCTACAGATTTTGCTTATATTCATTGTTCCTTCATGCCAGGATGAATGTCATTTTATCAAGAACTATAAAGCCTCCAGAACCCAGGCATCATTGCCACTCCTTAAGGTACAATCACCATGATGTTATTTTGCAATCATGAGATTACGATTTTATTAGGATACAAGATTTTCTAGCGTTGTGATATCTGTCTCCCATGAGAGATTTCAATAAGTAATGGAAGTCATTTTGTCTTTAAGTAAAGTGTAAATCGAACAAATACGTCAAATGACTGACTAAGCAGACACTTTTTAATAATTTATTTTTAAAGATGTTGTAATTTTATTTTGGTGTCATCATCTTTTATTAATTTTATGTAAGGTTACTTCTTTTCACAATCTTTGTGTTTCAGGCAGCCACTCGTGTGATCCTGTTATCTGGAACCCCAGCTCTCTCGCGGCCATTAGAGCTTTACACCCAGATCTGTGCCATCCAACCAGGATTATTTCCTACATTTCATCTGTTTGGAATTCGTTACTGTGCTGGCCAACAGGTGGGTTAAGGTCCTTTTAAGCCCAATGGCCTAAGATTTACCAAGGGTTACTTGGGGGACCTTTCTCAAAAGTCACTATAACTTTACTTGTAATCTTATTTGCCTGAAAGCATTCTTTGCAATTTTAACTAAGGACTAGTAGAGTGAATCTTAGCCAAAAGCCAGTCCATTTTGTTGCATTTTGTGAAAAAACTATTAATATTGCAATCTAGAATGAAAAGGAGGCCAAAGAAACATATTCAGGTTTGGTTACTCCTGGGGCCTTCAAAAGTGGCTTCAAAGTCAAATAGTATGAAATTTGATTTACATTAATGCTGGATTTATTTACCAAAGAAAACTACTATTTTTCGTGGTATTTAACTTAGATTGGCATTAATTAAGAGCAATTTTTGAGGAGTGTCGAAATAATCCCCGAGTGCATTGGTTTTTCTTTGCTTCAGCTTTTGATTGGTCCAGTTAACTCTCACCATCCACCCTACCAACCAGTCAGAAATCTCAATTGGGATTCTCGCGTTTTGAAACTTCACGCAATTTGTTTTCGTTTAGTTAAGTTTTGGTTCAAACAACTATCGGTGCTCACTTGTGTTGGTGCAGTCTTACTTCTCTCTTCGAAATAATTCAACTTGTCTCGTCTTCTTTGTATTGCTACTATTGCTCTCTGGGTTAATTTATCGATAAATGTATAATTAATTGATATAACTATCGTGAAAATTATTATCTTCATCTCGATTCTTGTGATTATGACCATTGTTATTACATGTATTGATTCTTTTTGTAGAATCGGTATGGTTGGGATTTTTCAGGCGCATCCAACATGCAGGAGCTTCAACTACTTTTGGAGGAAAAGATGATGATCAGGTAACATAGAGTCTTTTTGAGCCCTAAGACATGTGATTTTAATCTAAAAAGAAACCTCGATAACTCCTGTATACTACTCTAAACCATGATGAGCGACGCTGTGATAAGTTTGGAGTAGTTAAACCGCAGATGTACAGTGTATGGAGCGATTCAATTCGAGTATACTTGTCTCCGTGCGTGAAAAATGTAATCAGTACTCAAAATGAGGTTGTGTAAGTTGAACGTGATACTTGACTCTGACCTGTAACGTTTTAGGTAACCTCGGCAACACCGGTGCATTAGCAGGATTCTTGGCACTGTGATAGGCTAGAGGTAGTTCAACCGTAGATGTGCCGAGCGATCCGATTCCAGTATCGTGGTCTCCTTATGCGAAAAATGTAATCAGTACTCTAAATTAAATATACTCTGTGAATGCAAAGTATGATATGAGGTCTGTTAAAAGGGTAGGGGATCTGAGAGAAACCATTATTTTATTGACGTGTCAGTACCATAAGTAAGGGAATATGGCACCCTATGAAGCCAAGAAAATTTGACCGTTATGCTATAACAGGCTGTTCAACCGTTCATCCTTACGCCCTTCACGTTTCCATGTTTTAAAACTCAGATTAAATTAATAATAAAGTAAGACGAGTAAGAACAAAACGGAGAGTTATTACAGTCACCTATCCAATTATAGGTTTCGTCTCACAGAGTTTCACTTCATTAATCGGAGCGTTCAAGCCCAGCTGAACTTATACTTTATTGATTACCGTGTCTAGGCTGCCACCCTTATCTGTAACTATTTTATAGTTCTGAAGTCCAACCATCTCTTTCGTAACTTTTCGGCAGACGTTTGAAGAAAGACGTTCTCTCTCAACTACCTTCAAAACGACGACAAATGGTATTTTCATCAAGTTCTTATACTTACTTCCTTCAGTTGCTGTTTTTGTCTTCTTAATTTTCTTTACAACGATTAGCTTTCTCGATTGTTTACCAACAGACTTGTAATCCTTTCGATCTTTTTGTAGGTGCTGTTGGATCCATCACTTATAAAGACCAAAACTTTGGAAAAGGCTGCAAAGGAGGTTTCTAAAGCTAAGGTAAAGTATTTAAACATTTTCTTTGAAAGTGCGTGATACCTGATAATAAGCTTCATATCCATTTTAGTTCGAAATGTTACGTATTTGTTGTATCTTGGAGAGCACTCGAGGTAAAGTGAAGAAAAATTAGGAGCGGCGTTCAATCAATGATCTCGCTGCGTTTTGCCTAGTAAGGAGAAATAAAAAAATCCACAATTAATGGCAGAAGTTGACTAACGTCTCTCTGGTTGCGCCGTTCGGTTTTAAAGCCTCGTAGCACCTCTTCAGCCTCGTCCCAGGCTTACTCCTGGAAGGAGGAGGTGAGAGAACCTGGGCAGGATTTTCCACCCCTTTTGTAGAGTGATCATGATCGTTCCCGACAGGCTGCCAGTACACTGTTAACGCTTTCTTGACCTGTCTGTGAAGTCTGATGTGTTTTCATTACTTTTTCAGCAACAAGAACAACATGGAGCTCTTCTCAACTACTTCTTTGAAACCAGCGCCAGCAAAATTCCTGCGGTCAGGTTAGCGGTAGACTTTAGTTCTTCGGAAGATGCCTCATGTATGTTTTTACAGAGCAAGCAGGCCTGAAATTAACTTTATTTACTTGTCTGTATTTACTTGTCTTTATTAACCATGGCTTACTCAAAGTATCTTGTGAAGCGTCCTCAATATTTCTTTTGCAGAACTGTTATAGCGATTTTTCTCATTTGTTAATAAATGGTTATTTCACTTGCGCGTGTTAACTATGTAACCATCTACCACCTCATATCCCACCACGCTCGTGCAACAATTTTCAATATTCCCTACATATGCACACAACCTGGTAATAGAGAATGGACATTTCAACTGATGAGCTAATGATTGTGATTATCCAGTTCCAACAAACTTAGAGGAAAGATTTTTTTTCAGTAGGGAGACTTGATATTCTTTGACATATAAACCGCCATTCTTTGTCTGGTTCCACCATCAGAGATTACATACTCGACCTTCTAGAAAGCGGCCGCAAATTTCTAGTTTTTGCGCATCACAAAAAGATGATGGACGCCATTACCAGTTGTCTCACTCAAAAGGTCAGTGTTACGGTTAACGTATTTTATTCGTCTGATGGTTATTTCAGAAGTCTTTTTAAATGCACGCTTGTATTGATTACATGAATGTCGAACCCTACGCGTCCACAAGCTAATAACCATGCGAATTTAGCCCACTTTCTGTCGCGTATCGGAGTAGGACCGTGTGATGCTATTCCACCAGGGGATTGTAGTCCATCGCAGATAGTCCCTTCCCCTCCAACCACTTTCCTCCAAGCAGCATTTTCAGTTGTGAGGTGTGCTGGCCGAGAGCAGAACATGATGACCATGGGCAGGCCTGGAACCTTTCGGTTCATCACCAAGCCACCGCGTCTGACAGGATTTTTTTATTTATCAAAGAAAAATGGAATCTTTCTCTTAAATTAAATTCCTACTTTTCAATCAAGTTAGTGGTGAAAAAAAATTGGGCAGAATATTTGAATTCCATTCCACATCCCGTCCCTATGTGATCAGGTAACGCAGCTGTAATCAGGATTGAAATCGAATTATGTAAATTTTTAGGCACTTTTCCCTTTATCTTTCAGAAGTATAAGTTCATTCGTATCGATGGCAGTACGCCAGCCGGAATTCGACAGAGTTTGTGTGATCAGTTTCAGCAAAACAAGGAGTGTTTAGTCGCTGTTTTGTCAATCACAGCCGCGAATACAGGTGAAACCACAAGTTTTCTCAACAAATCGTTTTAGTGAACTGAAGAATTGCTTTTCGATCTACAGGGCAAATGAAGGCGACAGAATGTCGGCGTTGCTGCAGAATTTTACATTCTCATAGCTTGTCTGAAGAGATTTCAACTCATTCTAATCATTTGTCGTTTTATTCTGGATAAAAGTTCTGTTTTACTTTCAGGTCTGACTCTTACTGAGGCCAGCGCGGTTGTGTTTGCTGAACTCTTCTGGAATCCTGGGGTGAGAGCAATTAATATTTCCCAGATATTATCATAGACTGCATTTGAATGAATGAAATATTAAAAAAAAAAACCCAAGCTGAAGTCATAGTCACAAAATGCGGTCGGAACTGAGCATAGGGAGGCTAGAGGCGAGGAAATTTACTCATGAGTCCTGCAAGCTACTGTGTCACTTGTTCTTTGTTCTTTGTTCTGATTGGCCGATACAGGATCCAGTTTTAACAGGTGTTGAACCAATCAAGAAACACCACCACAATCGTAAAGCTTAGTATTTATTTGTCTTATTTTCAGGCGCTTGTCCAGGCAGAGGACCGTGTGCACAGAATCGGTCAGAGGAATTCCGTGAATATTCATTACCTTGTTGCTAAAAAGACTGCCGATGATTACCTTTGGTACGGAGTGACAATTGACTTTATTCATCATGAATGTTTCGCGTGATTTGGATGCCATTCAAACGCAAGCTGTCTCCTGGAATACAAAGGAGCTTCGATACGTTTTGCAACGAGTCTGTTATGTCTGCCTTTGCAAAAACAAAGACAACTATGTTCTGTTTTCTCTAAAATTTGCAATGGATTTCAGTCAATCGTTTTTCTCTAACATTTCTTTTGCTTTCTTTACCACGAAACTCAACACCATGATGGCGCTGAAGGATAGGTTTGTTTCTCTGTTTTCTTCCAGGCCGCTGATTCAAAACAAGTTGGAAGTGTTAGGTAAAGCAGGTCTTTCAGAAGACATGTTAGAAGCTGACTGCACATTCTTCAAGGTATTCTTCAATATACATAAGTAACGTAATAGTTATCAATTTTCGACACCAACCAAGGTAATACTCATCGTCTGTTAAGTTACGAACTGTTTTTGTGGGTTTGTTCCACAGGATCCAAGGCAACAGACCCTATTTTCATTTGTGGAATCTTTCGTGGAAGATTACGCGACTGTTAGCCCCTCAAATAAAGCTAAGACCTCGACATCATTAAACAATAACTCAGACTTTGAAATGCATACGGAGTCACTCGCTATGGAAACAAGGCAACCGAAAGATGGCGTAAGTGACGCAAGAAAAGGGACGAAAAATGAAAGGAGTGCTTCAAAGACCGGAAGTAAGTTAACTGATTCAGTTGATGATAATTTTGATTGGTTTGACGACATTGGAGATGAGGAAGAAGTAAGTGATACCGCACTGTATGATACCATAAGAAGTCAAGAGGCGCAGTGTGAGTCGAAGTGTACAGCTGTAACAGAACCTTCTGCTAAGAGACAACGGCGCTGAAAAGGACCCATCCCTCATTTTCTTCGTCTGATGTAAAGGTGACAATGTTTCTCTGTCTGATGTGAAGTGCGTGACCGTTTACTAACGCTGTATGGTAGAAAAGAAGACGTAACTGCACTAACCTATTTCTTTCACGGTTGTTTTGTGATGAGGTTTACGAATATTAACGTCGTTCGCTTTATGTGACAAGTTCTCGCCGACATTTTCAAAATCTGTGCGTCGTGGTCGACGAACTTTAAAAATAGAAATTCCAACAACTTGAGCCGTGCCTCAGCAATCCAATAGATAAAAAGCAGCAAACAAACTGTGAGCGTGTAGTATTTAGTTCATTGTATAAAATAGAAACAAAGGAGACATACGGTAACCACAAAGATTACCATTACATATAAGATTTTCATATTTTTCAACTAGAGTGAAAGAATTATAAATCCCAGAAATTAATTAAAAGAAACGAGACACCTGTTACAGTTTAATCTGGAAATGTAAGTCCTTTTGTTATCTGGTACCCATGCCCTTATCATCTTGTGCGATATTAGTGCTGCCTGGGAATGAATTTTATCGATGAGCGGACGGCTCGGGCAGGCAGGCCTGACAAATTTACATAATTACCTTATTTTTAAATCACGCAAATATGAAAAGTGTTTTAGAACACTTTTGCTAAGGATCTTATTTCAGAGTGTTTTCTTCAATGTGAAAAGTTCATTTAGGATGAGTCAGTCAGTCTTTTAGAATACGTATCCTGGTAAAATCTTAACATGTGCACCCTGAAACTAAGGATTCTACAAAAAGAACCTGTGCTACGCCAGATACGAAAAACCACTAAAAATCTACTCTTAATCCTTTAACTCCCATGAGTGACCAAGACAGAATTTCTCTTTACAGTATCAATACAGTATCAACCAGATAAGTGATGAGAACAAAGAAAAATAAAATTTGGAGATAATTAGTTGATCCAATACTAAATTATCCAAACTAACATTATAAGAATTGTATGGTCGATAGTAAGGAGAATTACAAATTTGATCTGGGAGATAAGGGGTTAAGATGTAGCCGAAAACTTGTGGAAAATATGTGGAAACGTATTCCTCATCTCATGCAGCAGCACAATACCCCTGAGGAAAGGGTAAACTAACCTGGCTGCACTACTAATCATGTAGAAAAATCAGTAATTGTAATGATATTTTACAAGGATTTGGAATACCAAAATTACCAAAAAAAAAATACAAAAAAGAAAGTGGTCAAAAATAAGACTGACCGACCAACAATGACTCAATTTTCCCGCGAAACGCTTAAATAATCCGAAACTTCCATGATGCTACGCGAACCTCTTCAACGTGCCCTCAGAATTTCTGACTTTTTCGTTTCCATGTCACTCAAACGTCAGAAATTACTTTTGGCAACAGTAGTCTACGACAATATCCCATTATTTCTGCCTGCTGACAAAATTCGTGAACGTTTACATAAAATTCTATACTTCAAACAACTTACGACACCATGTTAGTCAAGTAATGTACGTCTACAAAATTTTTTACAGAACAACATCTTTTAGTTCCGTGTAATCTTACTTCGATCCTCGCGGTTTAGGTATTCAGTCAGTTAATAAAACCAAAATGTGAGAAGAGGATTGGTAAATTGTACCTGAAAGCTCGTGTGTCTCGCAAATCAAATTTTTTGCTGATCTCGAAATCTCGAACTTTTGTGATGAATATAAAAGGTATTTCCTTCAAAGTCCTCAAAGTATGAGTTTGTCTCGGATCTCGCTCCAAAGGTTTCGTCTTTAAAGACAGTGGGATATATAGTTTTTATATGTTGTTAAACAACTCAGAAAATATCGCCGCTTTCAAATTTCGAAAAGTTGACGTACAGTGTTCCTACAACTCCCAGGTGTTTCGGGAAGCTTGTGACAAGCGCAGACGTTTTTACATTGCTGCTGGTACTCCCAGCGGAAGCAGAAGGCATGTACGAAAATTTACTTTAACTTCGGAATTTCAAATTCACAATCGAAAACAACCAATATAACTTATAATGTGTACAATACAAGTGTTTGTCTATGGAGCCTAATAGTTCTGATCACTTCTAGGTACACAAAACCTTTTTTGGGGGATGTTAGCCGTTTAAGTCGCCAATCAATTATCACAACACTTTTTATTCCATTTCCGTTTCAATCGATGTCACATTTGCAAATATGAAATTTGGGGTTATGCAACTGAAATGTATATTGTTATTTTAAATTTCTTGGCAATGAACCAGTCACTCGTATTACAATTGGCTGCAACTCAACTGCTAGTCAAGACAATTTAGCAAATTAAAACAAAGCCATTGTGTGGTTTTGCCTGTATATTGGTGTTGCGTTGGCACCAAAATCAATAACAGGAACTTACATTTGCAAACACTTCCCCTTTTAAGCCATTTCGAAACGTTCTCGTGGCTAAGTCGGTCAGCCTTCAATCAGGATATATTAGGAACGTTTCATCCGAAAGGTAAGTTTATATGAAACCCATTGTTATAGAACTCTAAAGAACATTTAGTTATCAATAATCTGACGAGTTATTCACGGTATGGAACTGTTTAAAGGCTCGTATTTCGCTGGTCAAAATTGAATGTTAAAGATCTAGATAACGCCCTATTTATTTGTATAGATTCTATACATCTAAAGATGCTGCTAACTTCGAATCTGAAAGCCTTAAGCCGTGATTTCCGTCCGCAGAGTTTCTTTTGAGGGGAAACTTTCGAGCTGGGATTGTGTTTTGCATTGGCGTGTTAATATGTTTGGTTTCCAACCTGCTTAGAACTTCCCTGACACTGGTTGTTATCGAAACTCGTCAGGATTTATGCCGTAGTTATTAGTTTCGTTTCTAAGTATTTGAAGGGGATGATTATCGCAATTGCATTTAGACCGTTCCAAGGTCAGTCGTGTGACACTTTTGCAGAAGATTATCCATTTTCGTGCAAGCATCATTCTACACAAGTAAACATATGCAAGTTACACCAATTGAGAAGATAGAACTAAAACTATCAGGCAATTTTGTTGCTAACGTTTTGCAATATCTCTTTGCTGCTATTTTATAGCGGTTTTCACAATTTTCATTTTTTTACTGATTAAATGAAAAAATTTCTGTCTTTTCTCAGCCGCGATAAATAATGTAAATTTTTTCCCTCATCAAAAAATTAGTCCACTAGAAACGAAAAGTTGTTATTTTTTGGGGTACTTCATTAACAGACAAGTTATGGGAGCTAAACTTTACTGATTTGTAAAAGGGTGATTCTTTTTTCTTTTTTTTTTTTTTTTTTTTTTTTATGTTTAGATATTTTTACACGTGTTCTTTCATTTAGTATACAATGTACAATTTGCAATTTTCCATTGATTATTATACATATACATCCAAAAGCATCATTCAGACGACGCCCACCACCTGTTGAAAAAATTAAAACCTGTTGCTATGTATTCAGATTGAAATAACATTGACAACTTCAATAATTTTTCCGAATCACCGAAAGGTAAGATCACTTAGCAACGCGAACATGCCTCTGACGTGAAGGTTTTTAAATACCCTCAAGGGGCACACTAATGAGGAGATAAAATTTTAAAAAAGCTGTCAAAATCGAACGTATCAATCAGAGTGCAGAACTTTCCCAATGTCAACTTATGTATTAACAAGGTTACAGCTACGAAATGTGTAACTTATTTGCTCACTTATGGAAATAATTTTGTCAGCTTGTCATCGAAACATACTCTAACTTCAAGATCGTTGAAGTATTTGTGGTGTATGAGAGGGTGGCTGCGAGATTATTTGCTCCCAAGATACCTCGGTTTACCATAGAAAAAGCTAATTACAAGCATGTCTGGACAATCCATCCGCGCCGAGATAGCCGTTAGCAAGAAACAAAAATTGCTACAAAATGTTTACAGAAGGGAGAAAAGAAATGTCGAATCTACGTCAAAGACGTCGTGCTCTTCTCTGCAAAACTTAACACAGCACTATACGTAATTTCACTGAACTATTGATTTTCATTGTTACACTTTCAAGGAAAAGCCACAAGACCGAGCGCGGATACGTAAAGAAAATAGTTCTGGTATTTTTTTTCCCAGCTCACAACATTTACCGACATGCAAACCTCTTTTATGAAAGGCTGTGCTACTCTACTTATCGGCTGGGATCTACCCTCTCTAATCCCGTCGATGAAGGTAAAAACAATATGATTATCACTCAAAAGTGAGGCTAAGAGGGCACATTTCCCATAGAACTTAAAATGAGTAAAAGTCCTGTTTCAGTCTGAATGTCAGTCCCCTCTTCGCTGATAACAGAGCCGAGACCAGCTAATAAGTGATACTAAAATAATAATAATAATGATCGTAGTAATAATAGAAATGATAATACATTAAAAGATGCAAAAATTGAGCAATTCATCACAACAATCAATTAATTCCCACAGTAGACCCATACATGATCAAAGTTTTTTCTATTTAGCGGGGACCTTTGAACCCCGTGATTAGGTAAACGTGATAAATTAAAACTTTCCCTCGCTGATTTAACTTTTACCAAATTGACTTAAATCAGAACGTATCAGTTATTTTTCCTTTTTTATATCTTGGTATTGACGTGTATTCGTCATTTCCGCCGCTCTTAACAGTTTCGAAATATGTGTTGTGATATCCGCCGTGACAAGAAATTCTAATTTCATTTACTTATTTGATAGATGACCAACATCTAGACCTGAAAAAAATCTGGCATAGCCGGCCGAAATGTCGTGTGAAAATAAATTTCTGCGCGTCAGCCAAGCAATAGTATTTCACTGACTCACCTCTCGATTCTGTTCTCTCGAAAAGGGAAACTTCCGGAATCAGCAAGTCCACGTCAACCGAGGAGACATCCGTGGCACAATAGATCATAATCTCTTGGTGGTATAAATATGAATGCAGATGTAAAAACCAAGGGTTCGACTTCTTTTTTAGCAAAGTGTCCGTCCAGTGATCATCTAGAAAAGTGTCCATGTTTACAAAGTGTATGTTTCATTAAATTCTTGGTTTCAGTTAAGAGTCACGTTAGCAAAATGTCCCTCTCCAGTGTGTTTACCAGTCGAACTGGAAGAAGTGTCCATTTTTGCAGACTGTCTATTTCAGCCAAGTGTCAGTTCAACAAAGGGTTTCTTTAAGGGTAGTGTCCACTCCATCTAAGTGTTAATTTGAGCATTTGAAATGTCCATTGCAGCAAAATGTACATTTCGAATACATAGCGTCTATCATAGCCAAGCGGAGCACCGCGTTTTTTACCTTCCAGCGCGTCTCTCACCGTCCATGCCAAACTTTACACTAACAAACCTCAAGAAGAAATAGCTGGCCTATCATTCTTTAAGAAAACGAGGTTATTCGACCGATAGAAAAATGAGAGGAAAGGTTTTTTTCTTAAATAGGGAAAGTTCAACATAATTTTTTACCCTAACTTTCGCCGGGACGGTACTCTGACGAAAATACTGCAGTGATCAAATGGCGAAAGTGATTCTTTTTTTGCTTACCTTTCTTTTACTCTTTATATCAATCCATCAATGAGATAAAACAAAGTCATTTCTATTGAGTGTAAATTTATTGTAGAAACAGCAGAAAGGAAGACGGTGACAGTTTCTTTGTTTTCATTTCCCGTTTAACAGCGTGTTCTATAAATATCATTTTGCAAATAATTCTTTGGCTTACCCAATTATTCCCTAATCGTGTAAGAAAAAATGCCCTCTGAGATAACCTCAAGTGACTCATTACTTCTTTGTTGACTAGTAATGTTAAGCGCGCCCCAACCTTATCGCTTTTTTATTGCTTATAGAGCAATTTTTGTGATTATTTACGTGGGGTGTCGGGTGACCATGGCCAGCAGTAACGTACATTTTATTTCTTTAGGCTTTGTCGTCAGCTAATTTAATTGTTACGCGCCAAAACTTATCACCGGCCCGACACGAAGCGAATGGCCGTTGAGAAATTTCTCCAATTTTCTATTTACTATAAGTATCCTTTACATGAATGGCATGATTCTGAAAAAATGAAATATATATTACAATGAATTTTATTCAAATAAGCTTCAAGTGGCGTCTAGTTGTAGCAGGTACCATAAATGTTTATCCGACAGATTAGTTCAGGATGATTTCGATAGAGATTTTAAAAATTTACATAAGAAATTGTTTGTTTGGGTGAACTTATTTCCGCCGTTAAAGTAATTCATAACCTCGAGAGCATTCTCTTAGCTACGTGACCAAAACGTTACTCAAGATTTTGATCGAACTTCGCGTCGCTTTGCCTTTCTTTCGTGCGGATGAACAGCAAAAGAAATTGTGGCAACAGGTTGTTTTCGATATTTCTTTTTCATTAGCGTCCATACACATGTGATTTCTTTGCCGGTTTCTTAGTTATGAGTATTATTTTCCCTTGAATTTTCCGACTTTGGCTGCCATCAAAGAAAATACAAGTAATATATTATTCGAATCGTAAGGAGAGGTTTCTATTTATTTCTCTAACGATTAGGCCTGTTGGATGCGTTTAAACCCGAGTTAAAGTTGTGTAATATCTTTACTTTCAGAATGAAGGTAAAAGTGCTTCAAACAAGCTGAGCAAACTTTAATTTGGAATTTTGTCGGGATAAAAGGTGTCAATTAAGGTGAAGCAGGACGCGAGGGCTGAGAGAAGATTTTTCAAGGTCACGGATAACAACAGCGAACTTGACCACGTTGCGTAACTTGAGAAGGCACACTTCGAGGTACGGCCCAATACGATGCTTCTCAGTGTTATCATTGTGGCCGGCCCTTAACGGAATTCACGTCACTACCGAGGAAATCGACGACATCAGGGAGGAAGATCGTAATAACGGAAAAAGATATGTGTTACGAAAGACTTTTAAGTCTCAGAACGCTTTGGGAATCGTTTGTGTAAAGCGAGCTTGACGATAACTTAGCATAAACAGCTGGATTGTCGGTGGCCATTGAACCGTAAACACCGAAGTGTGCAAAGTACCTTGGACGTTTATCGATTTCCGATTCGATTCTTGTAGAATCAAAACAAGTACTCATCTTAAAATACGTTTCTGACTCTATTGTTATGGCCATTTGCAACCTTCATACTAGGAGACTGTTTTATTTTATTATGGCATTATCGATGCTGGGCACGGCAACAAACGCTGGACAAATTATCAACAAAAACGATACCTTTATATCGTCCTCTTCGGACATGCACGCTGTCCTGAACCGGACGGTTGTTTTGAACAGCGCGAGCTGGCATTTTCTAGACCTGATATTCCACAAATACTCGGACAACTTGACGGAGAAAATCTCCATTGAGCGTTTTAAAGATTTGTTGAAGGATTTAAACCTTGGTGAGACCGTATCGGCGACAGAAACATCGCATGAGCAACCTCACGGAACATCTCATCGACATGGCGGCAAGAATTCTCGAAGTCAAGCTGGAGAATCCAGTGAAGTTTCGAGGCAAAGAAACATGCGAAGGCGGCGAAGCGAGCGACAATCCAATGGAGAACGAAGACAATTGCAGTTAAATTCTAAGACGAACCAAATTCGCCCGAGGTCTCAACGAAGAGAACGGCGTAGTGCGAGAGACCGTCTCCATACCAGTGAAGGTCACGCGGAGGTGAGATATTACGTTTTAACGTTTTAATTAAAAGGGTTTTTTCTATCTATTTCTGCTTGGAGTTAGAGTCTTAGTAGCTGAGGAATCTCTTGGCAATGATGTTTTTAGTTAAAGAGAACTTTAATGTTTTATGCGTAGACATACAAACAATATTATGCAACAATACCAAGACTGCATATTTATGGATTTAATCGTCTGGACATAAGCGTTTAGAGGACTCAAAAACTACCCTATTCTCTTGTTGTGTTAGAGTAACAATAGCATATTTTTTACATATGGGCTAATTGTTTATCAAAAGGAAATCAGGTGAAACACGCGCGAAGATTCTTTACAGTGCATGGCCTGTAATCTTGTTAATAAAAAGCTCAATGTTCGGGGATAACATCACTGGTCGATTTGTTTTATTAAGACGTGCATTTGAACTCAAATTTCACACCAAATACAACAAAAATACGCATAAAAATTGATAATTTATTGTAATAATTTTGCGTGCTAAAGGTGGTGAAAGGCCTTTTTATTTTTGTTTTCTTGACTGGGCTGGACTGTGTGGCTATGTAAACTTTTTCGTTCTCTGAGACTTAGACTTATGGAGAGAGAGGTGAATAGAGGTCACGAGGGAACGCAGGAGATGTGATTGGAAATCACTTTCGCTGCCGGCTCGTTCGCTTTCGTTACCGGCTAGGCTGTGCCTTCTTTCCTCTGCCCTCTGAAGGTGTCGCACACGTATGGTCCTCTTAAGTTCCCCAACGCCTGCCTTCTTCATACACTGACACATTTCTGCGACAACTTCTACTGAACAACTCTCAGTACGCACTATGAATTATACTTGGAAATATAAAGGAAAACTGAAAACATGTATAAGATACTGCTCTTGAACGAGTTTAAGAACCCCCCTATTTTTAATTAAAAAACTTAAGTTTCTTTAAGATAAACCGCTTAAAGGTGAAGTTTAACGAAAAGCTCGAAGTAGAATTTCATAGTAATGAACTCAGACAACTTAGAAACCTAGACTCTTTTAGATCTGAACTAATCCTCCTTTTCTCCTACATTTGGTGATTTGCATTTTTAAAAGGAGACGATTTGAATGTAGTTGTAATTTCCAACCAGAATAATTCTTTTAAAGACTAGTTTCACGTTGGGTCAACTGGCTTTACTTATGTTCGCGCTCAAATAAACACACTTAACATATTTCCACGCTAACAAATACAGTAATACAACATAAAATTATTGTGTTCCCTAAGCTAAATAACAGATTTATGATTGGCGGAAAGATGCATGATTCTTGAAGCGCAAATCTTAGTTTAATAATTTGAACACGGCCTGAGGTCATCAAACTCTTTCAAAAGTTTAAAGCAAGTGGAGGCTATAGGTGATTTTACCTTGCGTCGGGGGAGACCGGCTTTAAATATCGTGAAATGTTGAACGTGATTTCACAAGGTACTATTATCGAAGAATGAAATCTCCGCTTGTGGTAGCACGAACCATCAAATAATGGGTGCTAAAGATAAAGGAACACTCTCTGTCTCCTTAAGAGGGTTATAATAATACACAAGTGCCAAGTGTTTCCGAGAAGTTCCTAACTGAAATATCAAACTAGCAAACATTTTTTTCTCCGCTCCTTCAAATGACTTTCTGCTTTCCGCGAACGAAAATGACTTTAATCATACAATTAACAAAAATCAGTTCTGTATTGTTTCTTTATATAATCGCAAACAAACAGCATACGGCAATCAACACTACTAAAACTGTAGAATATTGAAGACAAGCTCTAATTCTGTACGTCAGTAATTTGATCTTGTTTTTCTTTATTCAAATTATGTCTGAGGCAGAGTATTGTTTTTCATATACAACATTGTTGGCAATTTTCGGCAAACTTTTGATTGCACAACTAAACAAGCATCACAAACAGGTGGACTGCGTTTGTTGACTGTACCAGACTAACACCCCACCGGGTAGATCGAACATAGAATAGCATTCGAGAGGTAGTTACTTCCATTAACTTAGAAGTCCCCTCAGAAATGTGATCGCGCGAAAAACCTACTTGTGCAAACGAACTGATATCAGGCGTTAATTAATGTAAGGGTTCATTATATCATTTGCCGTGTGCTCGGCTTGTGAGCTGTCGTGGTTAGAAATATTCCTTGTGAGATAAATTGTAGCAATGCCACCGATGATATGAGTCATTGTATAGATAAGTGAGTAGCGACTCACTAGGGGTTGAAATACGGTCAGCGCCTCACAAGACCCGGTAGGCCTTCTCCTGCTATGCCACCCTTTCGTTCACGAGATTTGCACATTACTGCGACGTTGAGGACTTTTATGGTTTGTCTAGACAAACGACTGGAATCCTTCTTCATATTGGCAAGGCAGGGTTTCCACAGAAAATTCCTCCAAATAAAAAGTTACCTTTTGGTTGAGATATTCCCCAAAAGGCGTGATTCGGAACTGTAACGAGAACTTAAGCTGTAATTGAATAAAAGATCTACCGAGAGATTAGCCCTAACGTGTTGATGTCAGGGTCTGTCAGCACTTCTAGAAAAAATGCGATAAGAAGAGATAATAAATTATGTAATGCTATGCCTGGCCAAAATGATCTTTAGCTTCCTTGCTGTGTTTTTGCAGCCTCTAGTCTGAGTACCAGTCTTTCGAGAAGAATATTCTTTTTTATTTTTACAGGTAGTGTAAATCTCTTTCTGTTAAATGGTTTTCGTTTGTGTGTTCCATGGAAGGGTTCGTCTTTATTTTGTATGTCTGTCTGTCTTTATTTTTTTTTATGTCTGTCTGCCTTTGGCCGTCCGGGAGATTTCGCGTTTGTGCCACTTTTCAATGTTTCGTGATCTGTACCTGGGTTGGTAAATCTCTTTTGAGTTAAGAATGTCTGCTAGATGTTTAATCTTTGAATAGGGATATTTTCCTTAAGCTTTTAATGCGCTGAGCTAGACTTTTTTATCGACCAGAGTTCGTGTTCCGGAATTATATTAATAAACTTAATTAAATACGACCTTGACTGCAGTGAGGGTAAGATTTGGAGTCGACTCAAGAAAAATTATTTGATCAGCCAAAGCGAATGTCACGTTTAGGCAAACTTAAGTAACTCTAGTGGGTGAGTGTTTGCGTGTGGCCTTTATTCTATTGCGATTACGATGTCGTGACTCTTTCAGCGGGCTCTTGATGCTTAAATCTTTTTTTTTTTTTTCCTGCGAACGCTCTTTGCACAATATTTTCAGTCAGTGCCACTTTACTCAGGTAGACCTTGACAACTGTGAGGCACATAACTGCTATGGTTGTTCCTTTGGGATAGATTAAAAACTGATTTGGTCTTGAAATTATTCAGCTTCTGAGATAAAAGCCAAGGATCTGTAAGCAACGAACTTGGAAAGTTCATTTGACCGTTACAAGTGTGGACTTTTGGCCAGCACGCAATGTTGCAACACTCATGTAAATAATTGATTTGACAAACGAAAAATCTTACATTTATACTAAATAGGTTTAGAACTGTCGACGACTGGAGAGAATTTAGGTGAGCCAGTTAGGCGCCCTTCTCTTTTGCTTTATTCGCCTTCCTTTTAATGATAACTACTGTCGTAGGTTTGTTGGAAGGTAATTAAAGATTCTACCAGGAAAATGGAAGTAGATGTCATCGTGCACTAAAAATAAACTCATGCTAATTCTTCCATAGTTATGGGGAAAGCGAGGGTAGAGTCAAATAATGTCGAGAAAGATAAGTAATTGAAATCATTAAAGAGTAACAAAAACTCAAAGCCGGTTTTCTTACACGTGGTCTAACCCAAACCGCGGCTCTACGCAAGCAGTGAACCTCAGAGATGTTCTTTAATGGGGTTGATTTCATTTAATAAATGACCTTCCACTATAAGCTTTCGACTCTCCTGACACTTTTCGTAAAAATAAACGTTCAGATAAAAGGTTCCGCTTAGTCAAAGATGGATTAGAACGCGGTTTTGTTAAACGACTTCCGAACTTTGCGTAAACAACCAGCCCACGCTGTATGCGTTTTTTACGGCTTGCGTCCGCGATACATTTACAATGGGTCCAGCGGAACGGAACATTTCAGAACACTTGGAATGAAACTTAGGAAACCGAAAAAAAAAAAAAAAAACCAAAACAAATATGAAATTAATTTTAAAAAAATTGTTGTTAACTACTGCTGCTTCAATTAAAGGCTCCCCCATTAATACAAATAGCTCATTAGACAAAAAGGAAAACAAACTCGTGGAGCAGTTTCTGACGTGGAATAATCAATTATGTATTGCAATATTTTATACAGCTGACAAGTTTTGTGAATTTTTATGACAATGTTATATATCAGTGTATTATTTTGTGTTCATTTGATGGCCATTGTTACCACAAAGTTGCTGGTCTTGAAAACGTTTTTCAAGCCGAGAACAAATTGATGAAGTGAAATCGCGAGGTAATTTTGATTAAGTATTTCTAAGGAAGTTTGTGCCCATATCTTCTTACACACCGGCTGAATCAAAAGAGCTTTATAATGAAATCCTCCTCGATGCCTTAGTCTATGCGTTTTTAGTATGCCTAGCTTAATAACTTAATATTGGTCCTTGAGTGCCTTAAACGCTTCATGGAAATGGGTACATAGATTTTGCGTTATACATGTATATTCAAGTCGTTTAGTTGTTAAATTTTCCCATATTTTGAGCCCTTATCCATCAGACCACTGTGCATTAAAAATAGCCTGTTTGTAAAGTGAATTCGTCGGTAGGTTTTACTTCGATTTCCAGATTTTTTCAACCACCAACTCGATTTATAGTTTAAATGAATTAATTTACTTTTAAAGAGTAGATATATGTTTTTCGCCAGCCGGGAGGTCCGTATTGGGGAAAACTGTACTCAAAACAGAGGGCAGGTTTTTTCCAATACAGACCGACTTAGGCTAAGGGATAACATTTGTACTTTTTTCCTTAAACTTAACGAAATTCTTTCTAAAGGAACTTGAATGATTTAGGGTTGTAATTACAGCAAGATATTCCATAAACTGAACAATTTTTGAGCGAGGAAATGGTAGTTAAAATAGAGGTGTTGCAGATTTAAGAGAGATGCTTCACCGAAACATTTTCATTTTTACAACGATAAACAAACTTTGAAACATTATATTTACAAGTATCTCTCTCAATCTGACACCTGTCGATTTGACGCATGGGGAAAAATAAAAAAGCGCATGTACACTGTTGAAAAATCAACGGAACTAGCTTGGCAAGGACTGTCACGACAATGTTTTCTTCGAAAACAGTCAATGATCTTACGGAAAGCATCGTTTACTCTCATCGACGATTAATCAATGCACGAAGATTTACCTCTGTTCAGTAAGGAAATGGCAAGGAAAGAAATTGTAAGTAAATTCAAATTTTTCATTTTGAAGAAAGTTTACTCGTTTGTTTGCTGCAGTGGCGTGTGTAAACGTGGTCTTTCCCCAACAAAAACTAAATTCAAATGAGACACTTCAACTAGACACAAGGGGATTTATAGCCGCTTTTTGTTATTGAATCCCTTCAGTTTCTGTTGTGCAATTTACGGTACAAATGTCCCAATTGAACGGACTTGGAAAGACTTACTGAAAGCGTATTTATGGTTGAACTGAAAACCTTGCTTGCCCTGTCACTACGAACAAATTTTTTAAGAGAATTCAGAGAGTAAATGAATGAAATTTCCATCGATTAATTCAATTGTAACCAAATATCTCACTTTTTAACATTCTAGGAATTTTTCGTGAAGGATTAAAATTAATTACAGACGGATTTTAGGCCGCTTGTCAACCAATTTAATGACACTTTCATGTTGTATAAGTTGCTAATACAAATTCATTTCGAAACCAATTTTTTTGTCAACCACGGTGATTTGAGAGAGAGAAAAGAGAGGATTAATAAGTTATAAGGTAGTGACCGACGTCTCTGCTTATAGATACTACCCAGCCTGAAAAACGAGACCTGTTTATGAAAAGTATGATAGCTGCGAAGGTAGGGATGTACTCGGTGATACCATCGACATATCGGCAAAGATTGGAAACTACGGACCGCGCTAAGAACCAATTAGATTGCAGGATTCGTTACGGTGTCCTCTTAGAAAAAAATAAATTGAAATATTATTTGAGATTTTGCCAAACCTTTTTCGCCACGTATGTGTTCTTTAACTCCATTCACGGACATTAGTAGAGTCTAAGTAAATGGTTTGTTATTCCTCACGTGGAAAAAAAAAGTCGTTGTTCATTTTAAATAGTGTTGTTTGTCACTTCAAGAAATTAGATATCGTAGTTCAGTATTTTGCGTGCGAAGTGGCTGATGTCCAGTACGAATTGCCGCTGGCACATGCATTTAAAATTAATAAAAGAAATGGTATAAAAATTTCATGCCTTCATATCCCTTTAATTAACATGCACGGAGTATTTAAAGGCATGTCCCCAGAGCTTTACATTTGCATATGTATTTCAGTGTTTGACAGGACAGGAGCTTCTGCTCGATCATGATGTGAATGAAGAGGAAGGATTGAACGAAGAGGACTTTGTGCGGATTTGTCCCGCATTAATCCAGCAACTCCAAGACAAAGCTTGCATTGTCGACAATCTGGAAGACAATCACATGGCAGAGGACTCGGCCAAAATGCTGCATGGTAAGATTTGATATTTAGAGTTGACAAAGACCTTACATTGGCACTTAAATGAAAACGTGAAATCAATATTACTTGAGAAAAAAATTGATGCGAAAACTGAGAGAGATATCAAAAAAGACATTTTACCAAAGCGTTTCCCTGCGAAAAATTGATAATGCTACATTTCTTGAGATTAAGCATAACAGCATGGTGCTAAAATTTTTACTTAACACATTTCATGAGGAATAAAATTTTTTCGAGGAATGAAGGATTTAATATGTGTTATATTTACGAATTGCTACGAAAGGTGCGTTGGTCTCGTGAAGTGCTTACTGTACTAAATAAAAACTGTAAGGGAATCGTTGAATTATAGGGGATTTTATTCGTCTTAGTCAGGGTTAAGATAAAAGATTATAAAGTTAGTTACTTTTTTTTTTAAGAGCTGTCAATACTTGCAGCTTTAAGCATTATGTAGTGTCTCACACCAAAAAAAAAAAAAGAAACAACAACTACAACAAGAAAAGAAGTAAATAAATGTTATTATTTTAATACTTGATCAGGCATGAACACTTAAACTACGTTGTTGATACTGGTTTGTGTGTCTGTTCTACAATGATATCTTTACGCAGGGCCAAGACTTATGGAGGTGTGCCATAAGATAATTAGACTGATTTTGTAAGCGCGCAAAACCACCCGCTGTGTCACCTTAAGCTTCACTAATACACCAATAGAATGGCAAGGTGTTGTACCAAAACACAGCAATGGTGATAAAAGAGCAGGACAGAACAAGGATTTTTGAGAATGATTAGTGGTAACACAGGTTAAAGCAGGAAACATAATCTTGCTCTTTTTAGTCCCAGCCACAATCAGAAGAAATCATTTCAGAGAATCGTATCCAAAATTTTTGATCCATTTTGTTCACCTCGTGCTTTGTTATAATTCCCCACTTACCCTCCCCTCTCCTAATTTGCCTCGGAACGCTAATGCCTTCATTAACCAAAACTTTTTTTGTTTCAGTGTGGGGTTATGGTTTCCTATCTATCACTGTCATCAGTTTGACGTCACTTCTTGCGATCGCTGTCATTCCTTTGATGCGTCATTCGATTTACAAGAGGATCATGTCCTTCCTTGTGGCCCTTGCTGTGGGGACCTTGTCGGGAGACGCCCTCCTTCATCTGATCCCTCATGTAAGGCGAACGACATGTTAAACTGATTTCGCAATAATGACGGGTTGACATCAATTTAGAGAAGACTGGTTGAACAAGTGAGCGATGTGCATACGAGCGAAAAAAAACTAATAAAACCAGCCACAAAAGAGAGAATAGACCAAACGTCCAAAAAAAAAAAATGTCAACGACGAAAAACAGAAGACAGCGCGGAAGAGCAATTCTGCGAACAAACGACCGGACGATTGATTCGCCGAACGAAGAGCGAACAAACGAACGAACGAACGCAGGAATGAACCGACGTGCAAGCAAACGAACGAATGAAGGAACGAACGAACGAGCGAGCGAACGACGGAACGAACGAGCGAGCGAACGAAAGAGCGAATTTGGCGGGGGGGGGTGGTGGGAGGAGGCGCACAGTCGAAAAGGCATACAAATGGATCGAAAAAGCAAGCGTGCAAGTGGCGAACAAACTTAACGAGCCACTAACTCTACTAACAACTTCACAACCGAGTGAATGAGTGACACATGAGACGACTGAAGTGAGAAAGTTACTTAAGACTGAGAAAAACGTGGTAGGGTGAGTGGAGATACAAACAAACCAAATTGAGAAATAATGCAAGTTGGGAGAGATAGGTATGACATAGCCAACAAGCACTGTCCAGAAGAACTGTTAAAATTTGAAAGTCTTAAATGATATTAATTGACAGGATTGGAGAGAAAGAATTCATTTCAGTGTTGTTGTTTTCAGGCTTTCGTCTCTAGTCATGGAAACGAAGAAGGAGGGCATAAGATAAATATTTACAAGTCATGCGTTATTATGGCAGGAATCTACGTGTTTTTTATGGTTGAGTGCACGCTGAAAGCACGCATGGCGCGAAAGAAACGCTCACGTGGTAACCTGCACGTGACAACTCCAGAAAAAATGGTAAGCTGATACAGAAATAAGAGAAGTTTTCGATGTTGGCTAAAACCTTTTCCTTACGAGTAAAATGGCTGATTACTGCGGTAATTTAACCCGGTTTTTGTAGCATAAAGCGGCTCTAATCTTCGCATTGTGCTACTTATTATTGAATCTATTTATATTTTGTTGCGAAAACTGTTGATGTTAACTTTTTTCGCTTGTTTGTTCGTAGAAGAAGAAAGAAGCCGCAAAATATCAGGAAATGGTTGGTTCAAGGCTCGCTGGAATTCAACGAAGTATTAGCTGCGACGGCGCACACTTTCCTAAGGCCAGCAGAGATATCTCAGAAGGCTGTAAAACAACATCTTGTGAACTGGTTCTTTTGGAGTCTGGGAAAGAGGAGCGTGCGAGCACAGGCTCCGAGTCCTCCCAAGAAAAAGTGCCGTTGTGGGAGCCTTGTCGACATGGTCACCATTGCCATCCGCGCGACAGTGTTCAAGAGCGAAGCAAACACAGTTTTAGCGACTCGCAACTTATAGCTGCATTGCAAGGCAAGTCGTGCATCCATCCCAACATTTACAGCAATAACTTCTCTGCCAGTGGTACTGACAGCGAAAACCAAACCCATCACAATGTCAATCAAATTCGCTCACACCAAGGTGATCAGTACTCGTACCAGGTCCCCACGGAATCGAATACCATCGCCACAGAAACGACGAGCGATGCTGGAGACGGCGGTTACGATGAGGAGAATGGACACGATCATCACCATCATCATCACCACCACAGCCCTAACATTGACAAGAACACCTCCATTGCCACTGTAGCGTGGATGGTTATTGTCGGGGATGGTTTCCACAACTTCAGCGACGGTCTGGCAGTTGGTACTGCGTTTTCAGTTTCATTGACCAACGGTCTTACCACAGCTATAGCAGTGTTTTGCCACGAGCTTCCGCATGAGTTAGGTTAGTTGTTGGGTATTGTTGTGTTCTTTTGGTGTCGTGGGGGCTACAAGGTTTCATCCCTGATACCAACAAGAAGAGACATTGTCCATACTCAAGGTTATCTTCCCAGCCGGCCTCTCTCAAAACTTAAGTTTGAGGTATGTTAATCTGTGGAAGGACTTGTTCAGCTCAGAATTTTCGTCACGGATCTCGGCTTTCTGTTCTCCCCTGTTTTCTGCTGCATAAGGAAGTTTAGTTAATATTCTAGTTACTGTCTCTCTAGTTTTTAGATGTTGTTTCAAACCAGAAATCTCGAACCAAAAAACCTGAGCGCTCAGAGGTGGCTTAGAAAACAAAATTTTGTCTTTTCAATCACTGAGATAATGAGCGAATTCGATGTATTATGAAGCTGTCTCGAGTTACATTGTGATATCAATTTTGACTTACTTCTCTTTCATTTCAGGTGATTTTGCCATTTTGCTTAAGTCAGGTTTGACCTTTAGGCAAGCCCTGGCTTACAACCTTGCATCAGCCATAATCTCATATATTGGCCTTATACTCGGCATCATTATTGGCGATCTAGATTCTGCTCACACCTGGGTGCTGGCGCTCACAGCTGGGATGTTTCTTTATATATCATTGGTTGACATGGTAAGATACATAACACCCATAATAGAATTAAGTGTAATATTCATGTCGTAACTCCAGTTGAATTGTAAGACGTGAGCTCAGCTTTAAAAGGTGGCAATAACAAAGTCGATAAAAGGGCGCTTTTCCTAAGATGTGGAATTGTTAAGTTGTAAACTTAAAATTTTCCACAATTTTGATTGTGGAATGAAAAGAAACAGAGCTTGTTTAGTATTACAAATGGGGGAAGGGGGTATGCAGCTGTCAGCAACAGAGTGGGTTTTGATCTAGAGAGCCTGCAATCGTTTCTGGTTGACTTGTAACTCTTCCCTATAGTATCTTTACATCATCAAGCAAACAGGTAATGGAAAACTCAAACTTATCGGGTTTAGGTTGTTGTCTTGATTTAACACCAAATTGTCGTAACCAATTTACCAGAAAATGAATGGCAACTAGAGGAGAGAACTAACACTCAGATCGTGGGATTTAAATGTTTAAATGCTGATAGTTTCTCTCATGAAGAAGACCTGTTATAAGAAATTGACGGTGAATTATCAAATCGAAAGTGGTTTAGCGTAGTCTGTACTCTCATCGACAACGACATTCGTCATCACAGTGGTCAAAATGTTGTGGACTCACGAGGCGCAGCACAATATCGACGTCAAATTAAACAATTCTTTCACTGCGTGACACGTTGCGTGACACTTCGACGCGATAAGCGTTGTTGTACTCATATCTTAATTGGCCAATTAGATCGCGACATTACTGTTGATTGTGGTAAAATAATGACTCGGAAAGGGACAAAAGGTGTAGTTTCAATTTGCTCAACGGTGGTTCTCTCTTTCTTTCCACAGCTCCCTGAACTGAGCAACTACATCAACGAGGGAGGTGGATGGCCTGTGGTGATCTCACAAAATCTGGGAATATTGACGGGAGTATCGATTATGCTAGCAATAGCTTTGTATGAGAGTTAAATAACTTAAATTATAATTTAGAACTACGAGATATTTGTAGTTAGTTATAATGCAAAAGCATACAGGCGCTCAAAGTTTGATTTAATCTGAAACAAAATATATTTATTTAACCACAGACATTTACGAATTTAAATATATTCACTTCAGTTATAATTTTTATGAGATTTTTGTTTTAAAAATGTGGAGCTTGTATGGATTACAGACGAATTCACAAAGAAATCAAAAGAAGTGGAGTTTGTTTTAAATGAAAATGCAAAGGAATGATATAGGTCTATTTTGGATATCTCCCGTTTTTTAATGCAATTAAGGTTGTGAGGCATTTTGGTAAGGTATTTCAACTATGATATTGTCAAATATAAATCTTAAATTCTTACCAGAAACAATCTTGATAAGATGTATTCAAATCGTAAGAAATTCTTCAGTTTTTTTTCGTTTTTTGCACCCTCCATTTTACGCTCTAAAATCATCAATTTGGTGCATATCAACTAAAACATTTTGAGTTTAAGCTTTGTTTTTTTTTTTGCCTCTAGGAGGAATTCATTAAACACCCCGCTTTATAAACATTCTGTGCCACAGAATTGCATTTTACGAATCGTGATATAGAATTGTAGTTATCCCTAAGGACGTGATGTACGAGGCCATTTGAAAATAATGAAGGATGTCAAAAATGTCCGGGATGTCAAAATTCAAATAAGATGTAGAAGTTTCATTATTTGGCGTCCAAAACAATTTCTGGTTACGAAACAATGCGCGATTAGTATTCTAGAATTCAATCAGTTTGAGAGACACACCAAGCTTTTTTACTATTTGAGTGACCTTTTACCAATGCATGAATTAAGATGAGGTAATTTTACGAAACGACGCCGCATATGACGCAAAGTCGTCGCCATAGGTTTCGGTTATTTTCAGTGCTCAGTTCTTCAAGGAAAACACTACGTAACATTGCTTCGAATATGTGAGCCCCCGACATTCCAGCGGTTAGGGCTAGGGTTAGGATTAAGGTTAAGAATATCTGAGGCTCACATAGTTTGAAGCAATATTATCGAGTACTTTCCATTCTCTAACCTGCTTTTGCAGTCTCTCCTCTCTCTAACCCTCCAGGGTCAGATAGGGTTCGAGGGAGGGAGAGACTCTAGGATCGAGGTTGTTGAATTTTCTTCTTTTTCTAGCAAGTAAAGCAAATTTCTTATGGGGTGAGGGCGGGGGGGTTTCCATGCCGGCCTACTCTTATCTGGTCGAATATTCAAGGAAACTCAAGTCACCTGACATATGTTGAGAAAAATAATTCAGGGAACGGTCTTAGATCCTGTAGAAAAATAGGTAGGGTTCCCTCCATTGGAATCAATCTTCCCCTTCACAATGTCAATATCTGAGCAACTGCGCACGTATCTCTCCCCCTAATCCAACCAAAGTCAACCCATAATAACTTGAGGTTAATTTGTGTTAGGGGAGGGGTAGGTGTGTAGTTGCCCTGATACTGACTGTAACTCCACTTTTCCACTGTTTCTTTGTACATTAGTAGAAAGAATCTCCTTGAACTTCTCCATTACACTAGGATCTATATGTGAACCACTTCCAAGGTTTTTTAACTGTTTTACCAAAGCTAGCCATCTGTTTCTATCTATTTTAGTTATAATTGGTGGAGTACTGTGATAGCGTAGAATAATAACCTTAATCTCAATTAAGAGACTCAGTTCTTCATAAAGGTCTTATGTCAAGGGCGGGGTATGTTCCATCATGCTTGTGTAAGAATGATGAAACAAGATCAGTTTTTTTCTGTTAAAGGTAGTTAAAAGGGAAGAATCAGGGTAGAAAATTTGTATGGACTTGGGTATTTAATTTGTACTCTATTATGTTTGAAAAAAGGGTCTATATCGCGAGTCCCATTGGGGCTTTTAGGGCTTAAGGTTAAAATTTTGGCCATTTACGGCCACGGTTAACCCAAAATGACACATTGTAGGAAGGAAAAAATTTTACTGTTAACTTTTATTACAACTAACGGTTAAAATTTGTCAATTTTTACGCTTAACGGCTAACTGTAAACTCCATTAAGATCCTCTGTTGTGAATATAGAAGGTTTGAACTCATCAAGGTACAAACGCGGGGCCAAAGTGGCTGGAACAGGTCACGCTTTTTTTTTCACTATAGGGTGACAGGTTCCTCAACGTCGCAAGGGATAGCTTCCTAGTTAGGAAAAAAATCTTACGTCGATAGACAACCCTTTGTCACTAAAAAGTCCATGATAACTTTACCAACAGTTGTGAGTTTACGCATGATGTTAACGGCACCAGCAACTGCAGAACTGAACTCTGATTTTTCTTCACTTTCCCTCAAGTACTCCAAGAGAACTAATATCGAAATTGGAAAAAACATTTTTACTAGTATTCACAGAAGATACAAATATTTCGCTTTGGCTTTGAAACGGATGAAAGCAACAGACAACAAGTTTGGTCCGTTAATCGTTTTCAGTAGGTCGTCTGTCCTTTCACTCCCAGGGGTGACCTAAAAGAAATTTATCCTTTCAATGTCATAACCTTTAAAAGCACAAAGGGGATGAGAAGAAAGAGAGATGACCGGTTTATTTCTTGGATATAAAACCAAATTCTTAAGAAATGTATGGCAAACTGCGAAGAAAATTGATGTTTAGTTTCTGCAAGTGAAACCGTTAACTCTCGTGACTAACCTCTTTAGCATTGTGAATCTCTTTAAAAGCCTTTGGCACTTTTTGAAACAAGATAATTCGGTAAATTAGTGTTTTTTTTTGTTTTTTTTTTAGCTTTGTGCAGATTTAATGCTCAAACTTACATAACAGGCGCCTCGCTGTCAGGGGCTCGGAGTTGTGGAACGCATGCGTAGTCAGACTTCTTATTTGTGCGCGCCACTTTATTTCTCCTGGTTGCAGCCGCATTTATATTAGCAAGTTAACAGCAAGTTATCTTCGAGAAGTTTCTATGACGAGATGATGGCGAAGTGTGATATCTTTTTGCGAGAAGTATCCTTGTTAAAAAACGGACTTGTCAGTATTTAAACAGGGAAACCTGTCGGGGAGTAAAGGTTTATCAACGACGAAATTTGCTGTTGTAGATGCTTAGACAAGTGCTCATTTCTAGGAAGACATTGTGTAGGAGTGAAGAAAATTTTGTCTTGAAAGGGTTTCTTGATTAACTGTTTTTAACAAGTTCTCCTCTCATAGATAAAACGACGAACAATTTTTGCTGGTGCAGCCCTGGGAAAAGTTGCTGGGGAATTGCGCCTTGTATCTTAGCCCATGTTGTGCAGTGTAGGATTTGAGCTTAAGTTACGTAGTTTGTTTATTAGTTTACCTAGTTGTTTACAATATTTTATCATACAATTTTGGGTTGTATGAACACGGGTGTGTAAAATTTCAAGATCACAGGGGTACTTTCTTTTTTATTGAATCAGAATTCGTAAGGTTTTAAAGAAATATGAAAATTATTTTTTAGTTACATGACTCCTACTAAGTGATTTTACTGTGTAATAACTGATGATATTTTAAATGAAGATAAAAAAAATTATTCAAAAATTTTATAGATAAATGTTTAATATCCTTTAATGCAGACACCATTAGCTTTTCTAGTGAACACGTCTCTATGAAAAAAAGGATATGTGTTGTTGATCTGAATAAAACTCAGTTTTGGGTAACATTTGGTGATCCACTGTTGATTTTTCGCAATGACACTGTTTATTGATGTATCACTGGACCTCAGACACACCTCTTCAGTACGAAAGTCTGATCAATTAATTTGGGGCCTTGACTGATGGGGGAGGTCTGTGTTATGAAAGACGGCAAACTTGCCTAGGTTTGCTCTTCCCACTGGTTATCCCATTCTCTAACAGAAGTGTCTCAGTGATGAAATTTGAGAACGAGGATCACAAGCGTAACAATAGTTGGGATTAACACGCGGGGATCTGGGATCGAGATCAGGGAAGCTCACAAGTACAGAATTGAAAACAAGCAAACAAACAAAATTGAAACAGACAAAAAAAAAAGATAAAAATGATAATGATGATGATGATGATGATAAAAGTAGGTAATCAAACACGAGATAATTATCTTAACAATGTTACCTTGCTAGTCACGTTGTAAATCGCGTCTGGCAATGAGGATTTGTCTCGCACTTAAATGAGTGTAACACTAAAATTGATTGTTAAACTTTAAACTTCGATTCTTGTGGAAACAACGAAAACCAAGAAATTTACTCATACAGAGGCTATTTACCTTGAGACTGATGTGTGTCGAAACGACATTTATGAATCCTTGATCTATCTCCCCTTGAACCACGTAATTCGGCAAACATGAAGAAACACCATCCAGCCTTGAAAGAAAGACGATATCATTGGTAATACGGTTGAAATATCGAAGCTGACAAAGACATATTGGTTTACTGAGCGAAAATATTACGTTTTCAAAATAAAACTGCTGAAAAAATTGAGCGACGGCATCTCCAACAATAATTTTTGTTTTTGCAACTTTGGATCAAGAGTTCTCGGCAGCTTGAACTCAGAGCCATTCCAGGCGTGCTCCTTCACCCAAACAACAGATTTAATAATATTGTTCATTCCTGAAAACAAATCATTGCAAATATTAATGAATAAATTAACAAACAAGCATGCAAAATAGGACGATAAAAAAAGCGTCAGCAAATGTATTTAACAAACAAGTAGTTGAACACAGACGGAAAAAAGTAATGAACACCATAAAGTTAGAAATTTCAATTAAACCCATACCAAGAATATAACTATAATTGTTACCTCTCATATTCTTACATCAATCTGGACAAAAAAAAGGAGTATCGATTCTTTTTATAGAACAGAACAATTTGAGATACTGATATTAATTTTAGTTCTTTTAATAACATTTTTTTGTAATATTTTCCGAACTAAATTTGAATTTTATTTCATTGAATCCTCTTACATATTGCGTAACTAAGCAGCAAGCCTGGATGGTTTCCACTACTGGAATATTAACTTGCCTTTGTGGTGTGATATCCTCCCTTGTCTCATGTGAGGCTCACACTGGGCTCACATGTTTCCTCACATATACGGATATCTTTACCAAATATGGCGAACGTAAGCACATGAGGCGCCAAAATTGGAACACAGCCCTCCCGGGTAATCAAGGCTAATTTAATTGATTCTGTTGGGAGCTCTGTGTCGCAAGGAAAATGGCCGGTGGCAACTTTATCAACTGGCGTTAGACAGGCCTAAGCAGATCTTGATTTCTGTCCTCGAGATGGAGAGCCGCAGAATGGAGCAGTCTTCCATAAGAAAGCCGTGGTTTCTACTTCCCCAAGCGAGTTGTGAAACGCCTCTTGTACAGGTAAGCTGCAGATTGTATTTTGCAGCGCTCGCTTCCCCGCTTTTCAACTTGACTTAGTTCAACTAACCTCCAAAAACGCCCTTTCCGCTGATTGATATTCTGTTTTTGGTATTTAATTTAGGCATCCTTGAGGCCAGCCGATCCAACGACACTGCGAGCAATCTTTAATAAGGTTTGTAAATTTACTAACTTTCGGGGAGAAACCCCGTTTATTTCGATCTCTATTATATACAATAACTTGTACATTCTTTGCTGCTGGTCAGGTAGTTTAGATATGCCATAAAAGGCTTTAAACGATACTTGTGGATTGCTTAAAAGGTTATTGAATGTCCAAAATCGGCCTAAATACCAAATTTGTAGTCCCCCCGACTGAGAGATGTTTTTATTGTATTGCAAATCTGTGTTCTGTATGAAATGTATTCGACACTTTCGATTTTAACGCACAGGTTTATAATATTTGATAAAGTGAAAGGCATTTAGAGACCTGTCTGTTTATATAGTTCAATTTCTTTTACAGCTTATGTTTTAAGCTTCATCTCGATTAGAGATCCTAAGATGAAAGATAGTCTTGTCCAAATATTTGAGTGTGGAAAGCATCCAAAATTTCCTTCTCACAATGTTGATATCGTCAAATCTGTCCAAGTTCTTTTCTCTTTGGGAAGAGCTGACAGCTGAACAAGGAAGAGGATGAACTACGATCCTCCTCCTCTCCCCAATCACTTAGCTTTCTATTCTTTTGTCCTTTGCATTGTTATTTCAAGATATGCCATGGTCAAAAGTACAAAAAAGTCATAAAACTGGTGGTACCTGGTTAATTAAGAGCAAGCAGCTTCTAAGCTACGTTTATGTGCCAAAAATGTCCCTTGCAGCAAGTATCTAGTTTCTAGGACTTTCTGTAAACTAATATCCTTCTGGCCTAAGGAAGAGATTGTCAATTAACCCAGGCCTAGTATAATTTATACTATTACTTAACCACTGCATAAAAAGCATTTTGACTTGGAAATATAGATGTTTTTATACATCCCAGGCCTGGCAACCCTGTCTGCATAGTATGGTAGATGCCAAACATTTTTTTCTTTCTTAACAAACATTTCCCTCAGGAGAATTGCCACGACACCTCCACTGCCCCTTCTTCCTCCTGGCCCTCCTGTTCCCATTCCCAAAATTAATAAGCATCCATGGATCTTATCAGAGCATTTACAGCATTGTTCATACCTAATACTGTGGATTTTTAACTAATTATGTTCAAGAAAGGAGTTATGTATGGTTAATACACTGTATTTGTACACAAAACTGTGGAACAGGTCTTTTGTGAATGCTACAATGACTTCAGTGTGAGTTGCTACTAATGCTATAACATTGCAAGACTAAAAAGCTCCATGGAACTTATCTGAGCTTTCAAAGTATTTTTTATTTTCTACTTCTTCACTTAATATGGTGGATTTTTTTAATGTGTCAAATAAAGGAGTTATGTATAGTTAACTACACTGTATTTGTACACAAATGCCACAGTGACTTCAGTGTGAGTTGCTTCTAAAGCTATGACATTGCAAGCCTTAAAACCTGCTTAGATCTATGATGAATTTGAAATATTACCCCCTATTGTTATCATTGAACACTTGCAGTATGCCACAGTGGAGCAGGATGATGAAAAGTTCATGACACCAGTGAATCTGATCCGAGACTATCTTGGAATGCAGAAGGTTGAGGAGTACAATGAGACAACTTTGAATCTTCTTGCAGGATGTGTTGACCAAACTAAAGATGGGTATGTCCATTTCATCTGGAAGCTCCTGTCCAATTTCTCTAAAGTTCCTAAAAAATTCATATTATAAGCTGTCCTCATTACAAAACAACTCAAACAACATAGTATAGCAAGCTTCCTGCTTGTTTAAATAACCAGATTGTACTGTTCAATTCATGTTGTCAATAATTCTTGAAACTTTTCCTTGCAAATCATATAAAAACATTCACTTTGCCCAAGGCAAATGCTATTTTAACAACTTCTCCAATTACAAAAGCACCAAATCTTATTTGGACTGGTGACTTAACCCTTCAACCCTTAACTCACAAAAGTGATTAACTTAAAACTTCTCCCTACAATATCCATACATTCTTCAGCAAACAGGTAATGAGAATATTCAAACTTATCAGGTAGAAGCTTCTATCTTGATCTAGCACCAAGTTCTCATAACTAATTTACAAGGAAATGTGTAGTAGCTACAAGGCAGAATTAACAATCAGATCTTGGGAGTTAAAGGAGTGACCAAAACAGAATTTCTCCCTACAATATTGATACAATATCGACCAGATAAGTGATGAGAATAAAGAAAAATATCAATTTGGTGATAATTAGTTGATCCATTACTAAAATCTCTGAACTAACATTAAAAGAATTTTATGGTTCACAGTAAGGAGAATGACAAATTTGATCTGAGAGTTAGAGGGTTAAGAAAAGGGAAATGACTGAAATTTCTTAAACAAATCAGAATCCAACTGACTCTTTGTTTTTCTTGCAGCTTGATCTCATTTAGTGAATTCTTGGCATTTGAGGCCTTACTGTGTAACCCAGGTGCTCAACACAAGATTGTTTTTCAACTTTTTGATCTGGATGGGAAAGGATCAGTGACATTTGGTATGTTGCCCAGATAGTGACATAAATTTTCAGTATAATAATTATGTATTAGCTGTAAGAATTCACTATACACATATATATTGTGGATATAATGTTTCCTTAGTAATGATTTTTCCAACTAGTTTGAGTTTTCTTTTCTTTTTTTTTTTTTTTTTTTTTTTTTTGCAATCATGGACTCAATATGGAACAAAGTATACAATAATTAAACTGGTTTGAGGAAAATGTATGCGTGTAGAAGTTCAAATGCATGCATGTAAAATTGATTTGGAAAATAATTTTTTTGTCTTTGATTTTGAGTTGGTGAACTCTATAAATCAAGTACCATAATGAATATAGTTGCAGTCTAAGTCTGTAGTTAAGCAAATAATAACCTGGACTAGGTTATTCAAAGCTAAGTTTGTATGACCCAGGGTTAGTGTGGAATCTGATTTCAGATTTGATAGCTTTAAAAGAAAATTCAGTCAAATTATTTTTGTCCATAATATGATTCTTTGATGCTCTAAAAATAACACAGGACATTATCCCAAAAGGCTTTTGAATAAAGGAATAAAGAAACCCAAATTAAAATTTAACCTTGGGTAAGTGCTAATGGGCCTTCAAACAACTGGGCCCTGGTCCTGCAAATGAAAACCTGCAAATTACCTGCAAATAATAACCTAGTCCTTATGAATAAAAGGGCAGGACTGATACATATTATTCCAAAAAGCATTACCAGAAATTATTGTAATGGAATCTCCAATGGTAAGACTGTTGATTGTCATGTAAGTGGTGGGACATTAGACAATTTACATGTATTTCCTTCTTGTAACTAGGAGATACATGTGCATGTAGATTGCGAACAGCATCGTCTCCATGATTTGCATTAATTCAAAGGGGTTTCAAATAGTGCAATTATTGCAGCAATACAAGGAGTCATGCATTAAAATGTACATGCAGTTTTGGAAATAGTACAAATAAAGCAATTTGTCCCTTGAAACAACTTGTTACCTGGTGCTTATTCCATGGATTATATTTACCATTGTTACCATAAAAACCTGCAGATAAGCCGCACCTTTGTTCAAAAAACTGTCACTAGAAATTGGGGGTGCGGCTTATCTGTGGGAACATTTTCCATTTTCGTGTCTGATCTAATACCTGGTTACTAAGCTTCGAATGTTCCACCCATGTTCTTGTTGTAATGCAAAAATCTATGAAAAACTGTGTTGAATGAATAAATTCCTGTCAACAGATACCAGAAAAAGATCAGTCATATGTCAAAGTTGGTAGAAACAATGTTCATTTTATTAAAGTGCTAAAATTGTGGGTAATACTTTGAAGTATTTTCCGTTGCAATGTTAATGGTGAGTTTATGTTCAATGAACAATGAATGAAGAAGATTTCTCAAGACTTGACATTGGATTTCTTTTGATTTCTTTCAAAAAAATTTTTTCCAAAATTTGAGCTGCTAAATTCAGGGTGCAGTTTATCTGAGGGTGCGGCTTATCTGCGGGTTTTTATGGTACTCACGTTTTCATTCATATTTTTCAGATGAGTTTGAAAATGTTATCAAGAAGACAACTTTTTTCAGCAAAATAAAGTTCAACTTCGACACTGAGTTTGTCAAGACATATTTTGGGGTTAACAAAAAGGCCCGTATTCGTTTTGATGACTTTTCACATCTACTACAGGTTAGTAAATTATGTTTTTCAAACAGCCCCGTGGTACACATATGAATATTCTCCTTGCAACACCCTGCATTAATTTAAAAATTATGTTAATTTCTCTTTTGTTTTGCAGGATTTGGAGAAGGAGTACCAAAGACAGGCATATTTTCAAAGTAAAATGCCAGACGGTGAAATAACTGCTGTAAAATTTTCAGAGATAATGAAAGTTTTACGAGGACACAAGCTGTCTCCATTTGTCAGAGAATACCTTCTCACGGTAAGAACTGGTTCAGTTTCTTTCTTTGTTTCTCAAATAAGGTAAATTTTCAGAGATGTCAGTGTCTGTTAATCCTCAATCTGGACATGTTTGATTGTGGATCACAGCCCTACAAATTCAACACACAATTCCTTCACTGAACTTTTAATTCCAGTCTCCCCACATATTGAAATAGGCTGAAATGAATACAAGCAATTAAAAAGACTTCATAGAAATACAACCATCCTGGAACAGAAAACCCTATAATTTTAAGAAGGGAATACACTGTTAACTGTACTATTTTTCCCTTCTTGTGCAGCAAAATATCCAAATTCTTTTTTAATTAGATGGATTTGTCCATTCTTGTGGGATGGTTTCCTTAACAATGCACCCTGTAATAAAAATGCATCTGATCAGTGTATGTTGCTCGCAGAACTGTACATGTAATGTTCCTCTTATTGCAGGCTGCTAGTGGAGAAGGTGGCCATCGAGTAAGCTATGGTTATTACAGAGCATTCAATGTAATGCTTGATCATGCACAAGTTCTCCATGATATGGCAATAAAGGCTGCAAAAGGGAATCGCTACAGGGAACTTAAGAAAGGTAAACTGGTTAACACAAATGTAAAATTAATGTACTAGGCTGCTGATATGTATAAATATTAAATTTTAGTCTGTGGTCTGGAGAGTTTGCTGTGAGAGGACATACACTGTATCTTGCACCAATTTTTTCAAAAAAATTATTTCAGTTGAAAATGTCTTATTTATAAAATCAGATGAAGAGAGACAGCAGGTTATAGAGAGTGCTTGGACTGCTTGTCAAAATGCTTTTTTTTTAAATTTTTTCCAGCTGACATGCTACAGGAGGCCAAAGCTGATGCTGAGGTATGTACAACTTAATCTTTGAAGTTCCTGTGCTTCTATTTGTTTTGTACAATGCAAGAGAAATTTCTTTACTGGAGAAGTAACCAACATGGTTAACAATTATTTATATTTTCAGAAAAAAAACCATACTGAAAAATTTTCCTTGCCTAGATTAGGAAGAGCCTTTGAACAGTTCATATTAGAAGTAAACAATATGTTTCATCAATCTCATTTCAAGACCTTGCAAAGTAAATTTGATTCTTCATTATGCATTTTTTCTTGAAAAAATAACAAAAAAATTGGTAGCAATAAATACACAGCACTGTGTGCCAATAATTGGTGTAATTCTCTCTGTAAAGAAGACCTTCAAAGGTCTTGACACTTGAGCCTCCATCCTTGACACTCATGTCAAGATTGTCATCTTACTTTTGAGCAGTACTGTACCTCAACTGAGGGAGCATCAGTTTCAAGCCACTATTCTGAATGAATTTTACCATTTTGGATGATTACCCTAGAGATATTTCCTCTTTTCCCCTTGCAGATCACTCCTTTAGTTATTGATATTCTATTCCATCTGTGTGACTTGGAACACAGGAGAGGGTAAGTGGATCAACCACGCCCAACTAGGGTTAGTTCCTAAAGATTGCAGACCAAGTTAGGCAAAAGGTTTGCTCATTAACCCTTTCACTCCCAAGATCAAATTAGTAATTCTCCTTACTATCTGCCATACAATTCTTCTGATGTTAGTTCAGAAAATTTGGTATTGGATCAGCTAATAATCCCATGATTGATATTCTTCTCTATTCTCATCACCTGCCTGCTTGATATTGTATTGATATTGTAAGGAGAAATTCTGTCTTGGTCACTTGTGGGAGTTAAAGGGTTAATTGGCTGAACAGTAGTATCCAATGAGTAAATTGTGGTTTCTGCAAAACAAGCTGTTCTGTCCATCAAAACTTGTATAACATTATGCACCTAAACTTGTGGATGATTAATGCCAATCAGACATAATAAAGACAAATGTCACCCATTGAACAAGGAGGAGTGATACATGTAGTTATTAGGTGCTGCAAGCACTTTTCAGTCAGCGTAGACTTTCATAATTTCACCAATTAAATACAGTGAACCAGCAAACCCCAGTGCAAGGTGTTCTATTTAAATACTCACAACCCATGATCTCCCTCTTCGCTCTAAATAGGGGCAAAGATTGTATAAGTTAGTATTTCTAAACCTTTTGATCTCTTAATATCTAATGACCAACTTCTAATTTCTCTCTTCAATATCACCTCAATCAAGAATCAAGATAGAAAGCAATGATAACTAGTCAAAGAAGCCCTTGATTGTTAACCAAATTCTCCTTGTCAGCACTTTAGGAAATGTATAGAGAACAGTATGGAGAATATGCATACTAATGTTAGGGTGTAGAGGATTAATTCATTGTACGAGGCGATAAATCAGCTTCACACGAACAATCAGTCACAGACTCAGCACATCATTATTTTAAAGAAACTCACCCCAAAAGTCATAACTACTTCCATTCGCGCTATTTTCAGCACACTGTGTCACAGAGTAGCCCCTTAATCGAAACGTGACCCATCTTTGTTTGTTATTGCTGTAAATCATTTGGTGTTCATCAGCTGTGATTTGCTGTTGCATATTTCAGGCGGATCACAGTGTCAGATGTGCATCAGATTCTTCCGCATCGGGATGTATTTAAAGTTTTCTCCACTGAAAGAATTGAAGAGGAGGTTTGTGAGGACATGGCCCTTGAGTCATTAAATTAGTATTTACTGCGAAATTTTTTTTGATTCGAGCATTGGCCATGTTGCTTTTACGAAGGGACAACAATTAGTACTCTTATGATGTAGTAATTTACCAGCTCAGAGTTTTAACGTCGTACGTAATTGCCAACGTAACGTTAAGAAATCGATTATCACGATACCGGTATTACTCAGTCATAATCTACCAAATACTTGCGGTAGATAAGACTTTTACAACTCAAAGTTCCAAAGCTGTTCATAACTGTAATCCGCCCCCAGTCTTTAGACACTTCTTCACATCAATTATTCGTCATCGGGCAGGCTTGAAATCGAATTCTATTTTCTTTGAGAAGAGTTTAAAAAAGAATTAATACCCATTTTGATAGAATCGTTGACTCCTTTCTTGCTTGAGGTTTTGGTTACAAAGATTTGCCAAAAGGAAGAGAAAGGCAAAAGCTAGAAACTTTACTTTGTGAAGCCTTTCAAAACATTTTGCCTTTGATCATCTATTTTCTTTGATTTAAGACAAACAAGCAAAGGAAAGTCTTGTCAACACTTAATTTGGTGGAAGATTGTCAAATTTCTCTATTTAGTATATCGACTACTTACATTTTCATATACTCTATTAGGTCTTTGATTCGTTGTTTCTCATTTCTGAATATGTAGCAGATGATAACCAAACCCAAAGATGAAGAAGGGTCAGTCTTATGGAAAGCTGTAGAGCAAGTTTATCGGTTTGGCCTCGGTTCTGTGGCAGGAGGTAAGCTTTGTTGAAGTACGCTATAACACTTGTGAAGTCTTGTTAATGCTCGAAACGAAATAGTCCATCGTGTTTTTTTTCCTCATTGCTCTTTTCTGTATATTTTGCTCTATGTTCTCTTTGTATCGTGTACACAGCTGTTCATAAATGCGAGAGAGGGTCTTGGTATTAAGGCACTCACTTTGAACATAAACATTGACGGGAACAGTTAGACGAATTTCCTTCGATTCAAAGCCCGTTCGTGGTTTCACTATAACAGCTACTATAAATTAACAGATATAACACGCGCTCTGGTTGGTCAAAACCCTATTCAATAGGGTTTGCAGTGTATTGTATACTGGATAAAGCCATGACTATTATATGCAACCACACCCTCTATCGAAATACTAGCGTAATAATCGACTCTTGATGCTAATAGGACTTTCAAAAAGTATGCAAACTTTTCTCTTAATCTCTCGACATTCCGCGTGGGTTATTACGCCGGTGAAACGAAAACAACTGTAGTCTATTGCTTAAATATACCATGATGAGCGAACCAATCGCGTTCTGCGATCGGTTTGCAATCTGTCAATAGAGCCCTGGGCACGATCGTTAACCCTTCAATCCCTAAGAGTGACTCGCATATAATTTCTCCCTACAATATCATCTCATATTTAAACATAAAGATCACAAGAATTAGGGAAATGATCACCAACTGAAGAAGCTTTTGATTGTTTTACAAATTCTCCTTGTCAGCACTTTAGGAAATGTATAAAGAACAGTGTGGAGAATATGCATACTAATGTTAGGGCGTAAAGGGTTAATGTAAGCCCAAGCCCCGGTCGTTCGATGGGTGAATAAATGTCAATCCAGTGGATAGTGCAATACGTTTTCTTTAAACTTATTCACTGGGTAGCGATGTATCCATTGGATAACATTATCTGCCCTTTGGACAAATTGGCCAAGTACTTTTAGCAGTACTCTAATTCGTTATCCTGGTCCATAAAGACGCAAATATGGAACACGGCTTTTCCGGCGCTCCAAACGCTCAAAGTCGCAGCAGCAGGGTGAGATAGGCTTATCGTCGTGCCAATAAGAAACTAAGTTTCGTTTCACCTTGCCCATCTGTGCGGCCAGTGATGAAATGTTGATAATGAAAACTTAAATCTACATCAGGAGAGCATTGGCTCTTTCGATTCAAAAACAGGCTTACTCATTTCGCTGTTAACGCGTGAACTTCAACGTGAAAATAACTTTTGGCGGTGTTGTTGTATCCGTCAGCTGCTGGAGCGACTGCAGTGTACCCTATTGATCTGGTCAAGACAAGAATGCAGAATCAGCGAGCAGTGTTAGCTCAAGAGAGACTGTACGCGAACAGTTTTGACTGCTTCCTCAAAGTTATTAGAAATGAAGGCCCGCAAGGATTATACAGAGGTTGGTACCTTGCGACACTTATTAGCTTGTTTGACTTTCCCAAAATGTCATCTCTTGATGAAATTAGGAGATCCTCGCAGCTAAGAACACTACTGAAACGAGTAGTTGTAAATAGGACCTGAAAAAAATTTCAGGCCCGTACGGGATTTGAACCCATGACCTCTGCGATACCGGTGCAGCAAAAATTTTTTTTCAGGTCCTATTTACAACTACTCGTTTCAGTAGTGTTCTTAGCTGCGAGGATCTCCTAATTTCATCTTTCCACCGCAGTGCAAATATGTGAATTTTCATATATCTAAAATCTTCATGTCATCTCTTGTTAGCTCCTCTCTATCTTTAACCTTCAGTTTATTTTTCTAATTAAGTAATTTATGTTTCATTTTGGAGAAAAGTTTCAAGTTCTTTAAAATTTCTTGGCGACTCTGTATAAGTCATTCACCTTGCTGACTCCCTACCTACTGAAGAACATATCACGTTTCATTTTAGTTTTATTACTTGTTTTAGTTGCAGTTGGTTCTACTTTGGCGCCCTCAGTGACGCTAAATGTTTAGTGTAATTTTTTGTTTTAGGATTGCTGCCTCAGATTGTTGGAGTTGCCCCTGAAAAGGCCATTAAATTAACGGTAAGTTTATTACTGTATTTCACTTCAAGTTTAATCGGTCGTGAAGTCAGTCAAAAAATCGATCTTTAGTCGGTTGGATAGTCATCATCAATCAGTCCTTCCGTTAGACGATCAGTCTATCAGTTAGTCAGTTGGTTGGTAAGTCGGTAGGTTGGACAGTTGGTCGGTCGGTCGGTCAGTCAGTCAGTCGGTCAATCAGTTAATCACTCCGGCTGTCGGTCAGTCAGTCATTCAGTCATTCAGTCATTCAGCCAGTCGGTCAGTGAGATAGTCTATCAGTCAGTCGGACAGTATGTCAGTCATTCAGACATTTAGTGGGTCAGTCGGTCTGTTAGTCCGTGCGTTTTTCAGTTGGTAAAGGTAAAAATCTCTAACGAGCAAAGTTTACTTTGACTGATTTCTTGTTTTTTCTGTTCAGACAAATGACCTTGTTCGTGACGTGTTCCGCGATAAAGATGGATTCATAAGCTTACCTTTTGAGATCGTAGCTGGTGGATGTGTAAGTATTTTTTGAACCACTGAAACTTTAAGGTGCTGGGTAGACGAATTACGTGTTCTTCAGATTCAGTCAATTACAAAGTGGCAATCTCTTTCAGAAAAAATCCCCCAATATATCCGTGATTTGGCCCAGTCGTTTTATATCAAGGCTTATACAACTATCGCATGTTTGTCAAGATACGAAACGTAGCGAGTGGAAATCAAATGATCGAATTTTACGACGGTAAAGAAGAAAAAGAACCGAGTCACACACACACAAAGAAAGTGAGAATGGCGGTGTTGCTTTCTTTACATTGTATACTACCCAATTAAATTCCTGTAGTTATGGCGACTGTCGATCCCGCTGTTGTGGTTTACCAAATTTTAATGACGTGATTTTCTTGTATGACGTCACACAGTTGTTTAGACTGCTTGCAGTCTCTCTTTTTTCCAATGGTAAGAGAGCGAGAGGAGACTGGGGCAAGAGTGTTCGATGAGACCCATTCCCTTTCCGTTTAATCACCATTTATGCGTTTGCTCTCTCTCCAAGGTCGCCAGACCCAAGATAAAATAGTGGTCCCTATTTTCTCTGGTGGGACCGTAAAAGAAAAAAGACTACACACAGTCTTACGGCGGTCACGATTGCCTCTGGTCTTTGGTTAATCAAACGTAGAGTTAGTCTAAAGAGTAAGGGAAACGTGTATGTAAGCTTTTTGTGTATTTCTGTAATGGTGACAGCGCAGACGATGAGGAGTAATCGTGGCGATCAGCTGCCAGTTTTACTTGAAATATTCATTTCTTTAGGGAGGAGCTGCTCAGGTTCTGTTCACCAATCCTCTAGAGATCGTGAAGATCAGGTTGCAGGTCGCTGGAGAAGTTGGAGCTACCGGTAAAGACAAGGTGACGGCATTGAGGGTCATCAGGGAACTGGGACTGACTGGACTTTACAAGGTACTGTTATCAGAACAACTTAGGAAAGATGTTATTTGTATTGTCACCAACGTGGAACAAAGGGGGAATACAGTTGTCAGATTTTATAGTAGTCCCATGCTCATGAAATATTTGATAACCGAGTTCCAAATCTACCTTCCTTCCAATATCATTTCCACACTAGAGCAACAAGTAAAAAAACAAGGTTTTCCATCCCTCTAAACAGGATAAACCGCTTGTCCCGCGGGAATTAATGTTCAGCGACTCTGTCGCGCTGGTTACATTTGATTATAGTAAATGGAGGTTCTTAATTGTTGTTTTCTCTTTCTTGTCCCTCAGGGTGCACGAGCTTGCTTTTTAAGAGACATTCCATTTTCTGGTATTTATTTCCCGGCTTACGCTCATCTGAAGCTTCACTTCAAAGACGAGAATGGCCAGATTGGTGCTGGCGGACTTTTTGTCTCTGCAATGATGGCTGGTGAGAGAAATTGATTGATCGATGGCCTTGTCAACATGCTATTGCTGTAGAATGTACGGTTTAATCAGCTGCTGGAAAATACCTTAAATTGGTTTGAAAGACCTATGCGTTTCAACATTGTGTATCTTTTTCCATGCAGGAGTTCCTGCAGCAGCCTTAGCAACCCCAGCTGACGTCATCAAGACTAGATTACAGGTAAACCGTCGAAGCATCCTCACACGTTCACCTCGGTTTTCACCCGTTTTTCCCCTTGTTGAAACCGCGCTAGAGGAAATTTATCTCTTGTTTAGAGTTTCTTTTTGTTAATCCTTTTTTTTAGTAACGATCCAAGCTGATGAAAAGCTTTCTTTCCCTCTTTCTGTAAATTAATGTCAACTTTTTCTTGTAATCGGGGAACCTTTTCAGAATTTAAAAAGGAAAAAAAAGGAACCGAGTTGAGTGAGGAAAGCAATTTGCACCCTGTCCGAGACTACAGAAAGCATGCTTAACGAGATGTATTGTGCTTTGACCTTTGAATTCAACTTTAGTGCGGTCTAATTTACGGAAAGCGATCGAATAATTAAAGGATCCATCTAATTAATTTTTGCTTCCTAACAACAATCGTTCATCATACTCACGACCAAAATATTGCTTGTAGCCAAGGACTTTGCTAATCAAAACTCTGTTTGCTGGGCGTAGGTGAAAGCTCGGTCAGGACAGCAGTCATATCGAGGGGTGATTGATTGTTTCAGGAAAATACGGAAGGAGGAGGGAGGTAGAGCCTTTTGGAAAGGAGCAGGAGGTCTGTTTGAGTAGAATACTCTTTGAATTTTCTAATTCAAAATGTACGCGAATTAAAGTGTTCGGCCTGTCCATATGTAGAGGTACCACAGCAAACTTCGCTGCTGCGAGGCATTCGCATACTTCGCTTGTTCGGTTTCCAGCACCTCAATGATTGGATGATTGAAATTTATTTGTTTTGTTTGAATGGAAGAGAATGATCGCAGAAAGAAAGCAAGGGCATCAGCCTCGCTTACATGCATCGGTCGTCCCACCATTCAATCCACCTGAAAGATATTAATGATTGACAAATATCAAACTTTCTTCAAAGAGTGATTGCAGCAGCAATAAAACTAAAAGAGATGTTAAGTTTGAAAAAGTTTTCATCCTGACGTCTTATGTTTCTTTCGCCTACAGCGCGAGTTTTCAGATCCTCGCCTCAGTTTGGGGTCACTTTGCTCACGTATGAAATTCTCCAGAGAGTGTTTAAAGTGAATTTTAGCGGAAAGGGGTGAGTACAATGAACAGCATGGACATGAAAGACGTGCGGTCAAATTTAATCTCTGTCCCTTACATACGAGTCGATATTACGTATCATTTTTACCCTTCGTTATAACCTATCAGCGGGGAGCACATTATAAATTTGTAGGCTTTCAACTAAAAACATCATCGTTGGGTTAGCTCTTGTCAGAACCATTTAACCTTTTAACTCCCAGATCAAATTTTATAATCTCCTTACTGTCAACCATACAATTCTTATAATGTTATTTCAGAGAATTTAGTATTGGATTAACTAATTGTCCCCAGATTGATGGTTGTCTTTATTCTCATCACTTATCTGGTTGATATTGTATTGATATCGTAAGGAGAAATTCTGTCTTGGTCACTCATGGGAGTTAAAGGGTTAAAACATCGATACCACTTGTATCGCTTCTTAGCTTACTTTCATCGTCACTGATACTTAGCCATTGAATCGTGACAAAGCACTTTTATACTGCGCATTTACGAAAAATCGTTAATCCTTACCTAGAGATTTTCATAATATGTTTTTTCATTTTGATTCTTACAACAGAGCAATAGTGCACGAAGCCTGGAGTGAAAAAAGGTCCTATAACCCTGACATCTCATTACATCCTGACCACATCGGTGGCATGAGAATGGCTGTGGCCTCGTTTGCAGGCATTGAAACCAGGTTCGGTTTATGTTTACCCAAGTTCGCACATGCAGCAGCAGAGAAAAAAGCTAAATGAACATTACTCCGGAGGGAAAGGATAGGTAGCAGACTTGAACTGAATCTGTCGAAGCCGATGAAAAAGAAATTGCTGATCAATTTCAGTCTGTTTGAAGGAGATTCAAACTCTAAAGAACCTTCCTCAACATTAACATTCAAGCCACGCTTGTCGTAAGTGGGTAGCTGTGTGTCTATTTAAGCTTGGTTGCGCTTGTAACACAGGTGTGGCACCATTAGTACTTGTTATTCGTACGTGAGCGCGTATATGAAGTCACTTGGATCGTTAGTGCATCGTGTATTTGGCAGAAAGAGCTAAACTAGCAGATTTGAATTAAAAGCAGCGTGTATGATGCACGAATTTTGAAATTTAATCGTGACTATGTCAAACAAACCAAAGTGGCGTTAGGAAACTGTGAAATGCTATTCTTATCTTTTTGTCCTTAAAATGCTATTTTAAGCATTGAAAATCTCTATCTTGCAAGTGGAAAATTTTTGTGGGAATCCCAGAGCAGACATTCTTGACTGAATTTACCGCTTTATATTATATATTATATTGTTCAAATAGCCTTTGTTTTTTTTAGCAGTTTATTTAAATTGCAGAGGCTTATATCACATCGATCAGATTCAAATTTTTTATAATTCAAGTTTATTAATGTAGCAAATGTAATCATCAATTCGTTTGACAAAAGACTTTCAGGAACTGCGTAAAAATAAGGTCTTGATACACGCACACAAGCAAATGCTAGCGAACATAACAGCGCCGAGCACTGCTCTATTTATTAATAGGCTTTCAAGGTCTATGCGAGAACGAACTTTTTCAATATAATGGAATGACATGAAAGCTCGACACAGTCGGATTCTGATGTGAATTCAACTGTATTGTTTGCCCGCTATAATCTTTCCTTGTGGGGCCTGTGGGTGACTTATGTTAATCCAGGCGTCTGATCCGGGGTCTTGGTTACTAACAGAAAATATATGTCAAAATATTTTTATGTTTGAATTTGTTGTAATTTGGTCTGAGAATGCGTGGAAATACAATGGACGCTAGTCTTCTTGTTTAAGTCGCGGAATGCTATGTATCTCTCTTTTGATTCAAAGGTGAAGTTTGCTTTCATACCGATCGATATATCTTAAACAAGTAAAACTGAAAAGTAGTGCGATTGTTTCGTCTCGCCATCCAAGTTGTATACTCTTCAGTTTCTCTTATCCGTCTCTCTCTTCACAATACGTGTTTTCCCAATAAAACGTCCTTCCCTTCTGAAATTGTAACGTTCCTGTCAATAGTGCGTTTCCCATGCCTCGAAACCACGATACAGACACTCATTTCTCTCGTTCCCTCCAAAGATATCTTCCTCTCTTAAAACACGTCTCTTAGTTGAGAATATGTTGGGGTCATGACGAAACAAAGAATCGTCTAATTGTTCCCTTTCAAGATTAGCTCCCTTAATGAAGTTTGGTGGGGCTCCCTAAAACAGTTGCCTTTAATCAAAATTTAGCGTATAGCGATAGGTAGTTAAAAAAGTACGATAATTTAGCTTTAGTAATCAGTTTTACTGAAACCAAAGAGAAAAGAAAACAACATGAAACCAATTTTAATTAAATATTGAACACGGTTGAAATTCTGTTTCTTCGTAGGTTGTTTTCAATTTTCGGCCTCTCGTTCACACGAGCACTTTCATCGAAAAGGGCAAACTAAGGGCTCTTCGACGATTATTTTTAAATCACCAATAACCTTGCTAAATGGACGCAACGAGTACGATTCTTACTTTACAAGAATTGGCCGATCAGCTAGTTGCGGTAGCCAATATTATATCCAGACTCACAAAAAAAGGCAGCTGCGCAAAACCTGAAGGAGCTTCAATTATTTAATCGGAGCAATTTACGAGCCATGCGCTAATTGCCATTTCCTTTTGAAATGGGAAACTGAACAACATGTGACAATTCTTTTGACACACTCAAAGACAAAAGGAATATTTCCTGACAGTGCAAGTTCAAAGGGTTATTTGCAAGTTGCCATGTTGCTAATAAAATTGGAAGTACTTATTCAAACACTGCTGCTCCGACTAAACCGCGTCTGATATGGTAATTGCAAATCGCGGCGGGGTGTGCCTCTTCACTTTGTTAAAATGCAGCTGATAGCTTGCCACAGCAAATGAACGGATGATAGACTTAAGCTCACGGGCAATAGGTAGTCCCAAGAAAAACATGACGAGGACCTTCAGTTCGACTGAGTTGCTACAAAAAAGGCTATATGAATAACGAACGTTACCGCCAACCTAACTTTTGAGTCGAATACGTGCAATGCCTCTCACCAAAACGCCATCTTTGCTTACTAATTTTCTTCTCTTGATGCGATTTTTGCTTTCAATCAGTCGAGCACAAATAACAATGAACTTGAGCTCACAATTGTCACTGCCGGTAAGTTTAGAATTGCATAGCAAGAACTAGAAATTCTTCACGAAATAATTGCAATAGAGCGTATTTCTTCTGTCTAGTCTGGTCAGAACTTGTTCGTGCTTTAACGAATTCAACATGGATTGGAGATTACAACAGAGATTTTTATTTTCTCTGAAAGAATTAGACCAGCTTATGATTATGTCACCTTTCTTTATCTTAAAACTATTGTCTACATTTCCAAAGCTTGTTTTTTGGGGAAATAAGCATATATTATTCCTTATTCTTAATCTCCTCAATCAAGCTATAAAACTTCGTAGCAGCTTATTTCTCAAGCCAATAAGTACCATGAATATTTAAAATTCATATGGAGACTGCAGTCTGGCTGTAATTATATGCATCCTATCCAAATAAAGTGTGCCATAACAAATGTCAAGCGCTTCTCTTTTTTCAGCTTTCAAGGTTCAAAAAATATAATTATCCCAGAAGAGCTCGGGAAAAATCCGGGAAAAAGTTTTTTTCAGGACAATTTGAATTGACATAAAATTTGTGGTCGGAATAAGCTTCTGCTGTCGTGAATCAACAACTGAAAAGTGCAAGGACTTATATTAATCCTCATTTAAAGCGATCAGGCTATCTAATTCAGTTATATCCCAAATTTCTTTATTTGCCCTTATTTAAGAACTTTATTTAGACTGTGCCGTCATCTTTTTTTCCGATCTTGTCTACGCATTAATTTGATCTATTTGCGTTTTTCAATTGAAATTACTCGTTTGTCTCATGAACATCAAGCTAAAAAAAAGAAGGTTTTTTAAAGGACGCGAAGGAAGTTTGAAAACTGAGGCTAGTAAGTAATGTACAAACTACAGCAGAAATGTCATGCACTGGAGAGAAGAATAAATTGAAGATACAGAACGTTATTAGTTTTATTGTAAACAACGTGGTCGGGTAAACCTTTCACCAAAGCTGGCAAGTGTCGAAACCAGCGGAAACCTCTGGATCTTATCACCAAAAGATTAAAAAATATTTACATTTTTTGTTAGCTCGTTCAGTGAGAAGTGTTCTTGAAAGTGGTTGGTGGACGGTCTCGCGTTAGAAAGCTCAATACTTGCTCTTGCAAAGATAATCATTTGAATTCTGATTTAGTGTAGCTTCCCTTTCCTTCACGGTTGGCATTGTGCTTATCTGATATCAAAATAATGCAGACCTTATTCGTTACTTACTTTTTAAACTAGGATAAACTCAGGGACGTTAAGAAATTTTTCTCCCTTTTCATGGAATCCGTACAGCTGTAAACATGAGTGGAAACTATTATCATCTTAAGCTCTCAACATTAACCGACTTTTTTAATCTCGAGATGCAAATAGTGAATTTAGTGAATTCCGGTCCCAACGCATTGAATATTCCACGCCGTGGGCTCCACTATCTACTTTTCAAAATCTTCTCATGATCATTTGCAAGCTTTTAACAACACCGAAAGGATAGGCTATTCGATAAGGTCTTTGTTGCGTTTTAAAGAGGGTAATGTCTAATAACACAGGATTAAAAACAACCATCTAGGCAATACTTGAGATTCTTAAAAATATATACATATTTAACATAAACCTAATCCAAACAAAAAAAAAATGGAAAAAAAAAGACCGGACTTATTTTTTCCCTCAGGCTATTGGGAAATCATTTTCTAACCCGTCCTCGTATGTTATAATGCACTAGATTTTGGGCCTCTAATTAAGACTCTGTCAAATTCTGAAGGGTGCTTTCTTCACCAGTTGAGAACCACACGGATGCTGTGTGTGGGGCTTTTGTCCAAACGACCGAGCCAATCTTTCTTTTGAATTCTGAAGCAGGCTCGGAAAAGGAGTTGAAACTCCCTCTCCGATCTGCCTTGTATCGCTTTAACAACCTTTGAATAGCTTTACGAAAGTGGTGGTTGTACGTGGTGTATATGATCGGATTGAATGCCGCGTTGCAGTTTGGCAAGAGATGGACGAAAGTGATCTTCAGAAAATTCATCAACTCTCTGGGAAGGCCATCAAATGCACCAGGACTGTACAGACTGAGCAAAGTGAGCACAAAAAACGGTGACCAGCAAATGCAAAATACGCTCAGAAGTATAATCAATGTTTTTGTCGCCTTCACCTCGAAGAAGATCGTCCCGGCTGAAAAGCGGCTGGATTTTCTTCTTGAGTTCCGCTCACTTCCGTTGCAAAGCGACTCTTGTAGACGGAACACCTCAGTTGCTTGGTTAACCGCAACTTTAAATACAAAGCAGTACATAAGAATCATGATGGTGAAGGGGGCAAAAAACCCGATGAAGGAAATTGCTGTCAGGTAGATCTTGTTGTCGATATAGCATATTTGTTCTCGTACTATAATTCCCAAAGCGTCGCCGGACACAAATGATAGCGACGCCAGAGATATGGAATATCCCCATAGTATTACTAAAATAACAGCGACACGGGTTGATGTCATTCGGATGTCGTAAGTTAGTGGCGAAGCGATCTTTAAATAGCGGTCTACACTAATGGCCGCTAAGTTTGCTATGGAAGAAGAGCAGAATAACAAATCTAGCCAGACCCAGAATCTACAAGCCCCCAAACCGAGTGTCCACAGATAGTAATCCAGCACGTTTACAATGCGGAAAGGTAGACACACCAATGCGAACAAAAAGTCGGCCAGTGCAAGAGAAAGGATGAAATAGTTTGTGGGTACTTGGAGCTGTTTGACAGTGAAGACAAGGTAGCACACCAAGCAATTACCGCCGACCGACACGACGAGGACAACAATCAGGATGACTACTTGGGTAATTATTTCAAAATCACTTGGAATTGAGAAAAATTGAGTTGTGGAATTCAGCCCAGAGTCGTTGACTGGTCGAAAATTGTTCAAAAACGAAGAGTGGTTACTTGCTGCATTCGCATGCATGACGTTGTTTGTCTCTCGAAGGCTCGCAGTGTCAAGCTTGACCTCTGGTACAACGGCTGTCTTCCTCGCTATAAAAGACCTCTTACAAACTGACAAAAGATTGCCAAATGAAGACTGTTCTTCTTGTCAGTTAAACTATATAAATATTCGCTACGTTCAGTATTCAATTGTTTTCGGAATATATATTGATATTTGCCTCCCTGTTCCAAAGTTACAGTGCTATTGAAAAACTAAGTGAGTCGGCCAGCTGATTAATTCAACGGACGTGATAAGAAATATACCAATTTTACGCAGCAAAAATTATCTCCTTAGGACATCTGTAGCTGCGAGTGTTTTTCTGCTGTGAGATTTTCTTGACTCGTCAGGCAGATTTGAAGACTAGTTAATACCTTTGACAGTCAAATAGAATTGAGAAATCTTCGGAAACGGATGAACTTAAATTTGGACAGGTCATCAAAGATATCTCGATTGGCTCATATCACATCCTTTGATCACCGACTAATAACATGGACCCATTTGTTTTGTTAAGTCAAACTTAAATAGCTGAACAATTTGAAATTTGAATTAAAATAGCCCTTAGCCTCCCCCCTTATGAGAACCTGGAACACTGGCGCAGTTCATGATTCGCGGGATAATACTGAACATTGTTCATCACATCTCACGAAATATCACACCCACTTCCTAGTCTGTCTAATGACATTGAGCGATTCCAAATTGAGGGTTACTCATTAGCGACAATGGATCTGCTTGCAACTTTGCCATCATAAAGTTTTCAAGCCTCCTTTAGTTTGAGAAAATCCAGAATAATATCTTTCCTAGACAATATTCTATTATCATAAAGTAACATATATTTCCGGAACAGTCAATATTGAATTGAACCGACCAATGAAAATCACCAATAAATCACTTGCACCTGCTCGGCGGTTCTTTTTGTTTTAGCTAAAGACAAATTTTAGGAAGTCAAATCTGCGGTTAGAAAACAACGGTTCCTCCGCGCCAAGGAAACCAAAAGAAAACAAACTGAGTGCTTTTAGTGAAAAGCTGTTCCAAAGTTTCTTCGCCAAGGTGAAACGACTTAAATATAGGAAGCTAAAACAACAGATTAGTTGGATTTGTTTATTTGTGTAACAAAAGAAGATGTTGAACGTGTAGAGCCATCTCCGATAACTAATCGAGCTCATTACAGTGTTATCTTTAAACGCAAGTTCTAATTTCGTCATTAATTGTGCTCTGAAAAACAAAGTCACCTCCGGCCTGGAAAGTTCCCACCATTGATAAAATCGCCAACTCGCCGACAAATTTTAATCGACAAATTTTTAATTGCCCGAGGTGAGAGTTCTTGTAAATAGGCAAACGAATATGGATTTTTGCACGTTTGCATGATCCACGAAAATCATTTCATCATCAGCTTTAGTTTACAGTGCTCATTCAAAAACAGACTGTCGATTATAAATGTTTGTTTCGCCAGCTTTCGTTTTTACGTTCGCACTTTGACGCTTCTTTGATAACTTCCAGCTGCAGCAAACCATTGAAAAAATCGTAAATTGCAGTTTTATAAAATAACGCTTCAACAAAAGAATCTAAAAGCTCTCCCACCTTTTTCAACAGCGTACGAAAAGCTGACAAATTAAAACATAATTGGGAATAAAGGGCCCCTTAGCAAACTTGCTTTAATGAAAGGGCCTCGCTGAACCTTTTCAAGTCCAGGTTTTAAATTGCATTGGTAAACTCATTTGATATCAACTGCGCACTTCCATTAATCAGTTGCGGCGAGCGTCTAATTTGAGACGCCAATAGCAGCTGCAAGATATATATTTTTCCCTGGTGGTGATTATAGATGTTTCATCTGCGCATTTGGTTTAAAATAATGAAGCAACACTTTCTAATAGATCGATTGAAGTAAAAGAGCGCCAAAAGCAATCGTTTTTTCCTTCTGGTCTGTTCGTGTCTCCTCAACACGTCTGTGTTAAAGTCCTATAGTATTCACTTACACATGATCTCGAGTCCCAGAGAAGGACAACCAATTAGGTATATTACGAATTGAGGACATTGGAATAACAAGTATCGATAAATGGCGTAACACGTACCGGTAAGTAGATTTCAGTGACGTAGACATTATGCATGACGCACGAAAAAATACAATTGACAAAAGTGACACGGAAAAAATCGAATTCGCTTGAAAATTCCCAATACGAGTTTAAATCCTTTCTTCATAAAAGCGTTTCCTCAAATTATCCTGAGACCTTCTAAGCTCATGAAAAGTCTAATAGTTGTAGCATCAATGTGAAATAGAAGCTAAACAAATTACGCCAGCAAACAACGCTTACACTGGGTAATACTGATCTTGTCTGTTTACGGAAATTGTAGTGCTTTCGGCTAGTGATATTCAATCCAATGTTGCTTTAAGAAGTTCGCCAGAAGTACTAACAGCGTGAGACTGATGGAAAAGTTACTTTTTCAAAGACGTTTCTTGTTGCGTCGGTTTCTCTTTAAAGCCAATCGCTCTATCATCAGTGAGTTTACATAAACAAATAAGTAGGACTATCACCCACCTTTCTTTATGCCCTAAGCCACGTCCAATCTGATACGCAGCGGATACTGTTTTACAGTCTCCTGAAAAGTGAACGCATTTTTCAATTAAGCATTAGCACTTTCCTACTATTTCTATCTGATTTTGAACCATATATAGATATCTATTCAACATTCATTCTTTAACCAGCACCCCCTGTTTAGATTTCCAAATTCATGATGTATATTTACGGTTATTTCTGTTAGATTACAGAAAGGTATTAGTTATTCGTGAAACCGTGCGAGTTTAGGCAACGAAAGCCGTGCCGAACTACTAGTCTTTACAACAGTCGAACTCCTCCACTAACCGCTTTCAACAGACAACTTCTGGATTCACTGAAAATTATCTGAGCATTCGTAACTTCCTTAGATCTTTAAAATCCTTTTCGTATTAAATAATTTTTTAAGGTAAAAAATATTCTTCGATCATGGAGTATAAAATATTGACCCTATGACCCCATAGAGTGATTAGCGCCTAGTTTCTACATACAGTATCACTCCTGAATCAAACACTAAGGCGATTTGAATGAAGGAAATGATCATCAATTAAAAAAGCGCTGGATTCTTACACAAATTCTCCTTGTCAGCACCTGAGGGAATGTATAGAGAACAGTATGGAGAATATGCGCACTGATGTTAGAGTGTAAGGTTCAATCGATTAATCAGCCGTCATGGCGAGGATGAGTCAGTATATCAGTAGGGGTTTCGATAGGGCAGGTCATCATATTTTGTTCTACTGTACGTTGTTTGCCGGAACGTTCAGGGTCGGGCTTTTAAAATTGTAAGCAGAAACTGAATATCTGAGCCCTCGCAACATAAATCTTAAACCCTTCCTTCCTGGATGCCTTCATGGTTGCAATCCGCCACTTATCAATTGTTCTTGCTCAAATGGTTGTGCTCGAGAAATTTTCCGCGAGAGAAAAGCATGTAACTCCAAGTGATCAAGATCAGTTAGCTCGGTAGAACTGCAAAGGACCCGCTTAATCTTTCCTTTCCGCTTAACCCGTCATATGGCAAATAACGATATTGAGTTACAAAGTCATCAGGTAAAGGCCTTCCGTGATGTCCAAATTGATCAAGGTCAAATTAATTATTGGTTATAAGTAAAGCGCAAGTGAAATGTTGCATAAGTCAGTCATTTATCATTACCTCTATTCTTGCCTCATAGGAGTTCCGACACCGATAACCTGCCTGAGCAATATCTTAGCTCTAGGAAACAAAAAGATATTCTACTTTGAATACACATTATTCGGCGCTCTTTGAAACCTAAATTTTATAAAATTTAAAGAACGATTCTAATTCCCCTCGATGACCCACAACTAACAACCTCGTTTCAAAAGGTAAGGTAATACAATGAAATAATTGAAACTAGAAGATATGACCAAACTAAAAAAGCTGACAGACTTTACGCAAGTTGAGGGTCTAATTCAATTGAAGCTGAAATTCATTTATCGTTCAATTTTCCTATAAGTACTCAAATCCCTGGGAGCAGTTTTGACGGAAAATAGGTTGCCACTGGCAGCAACCCTTGTATATGTAATCGTTTCATCAGTATAAATATCCTTGAGGCAACTACAGTGCACCTTTGTTACTATTTTCTTAGCACTCAAAGGACGAAATTCATGCTGAATTTGCGAAGTGATGTATCGTCATTTCCCTGTGACAGTTCCCTGAACAACCATGATTTTCTCTTGTTGAGTCATATGCTTTTACCTCGTTGTAAGCATTAATAGTCAAGCAAATGATTCTGATCAACGTTTGATACAGTTTTCTTCTTTCTATCTGCCGGGCGCATAACACAACCTGCAAAACGGCTGTTTTGCTGCAAATGAATAGCTGTGTCCACGCTATTCCGTAGAAAGTCGAGATTCACCATCCTAGGCTGTTGAGCGAAGTTCCCAAAGATAATTCAAAAAACAAACTTACAAACAATTAACTGAGAAACATACAAACTCGTTAATCGAATGATAAACCAACTATCGCAAAATATCGTGATTTTTCAAGAGGCGAGCAGATAATAAACAATTTGCCGAGGGCGCATGCTTACCCTTGGAAAAAAGCCGAAGAGAGCAAATTTTTAAGCTAATGCGTTTAAAATTCAGTTTTTTTCGCTGATAAATTAGGAGCTAATTAACAAATAGATTCCAAGTTGCCGTGCGTCTGTTCAGTAATAGATCACAGATGACGTCAAAGTGTGGTAAGAACATCAGTGACACACTCGGCTGCGTCTCGTGTGCCACTTTTTTGTTCTTACCACATTTTGACGTCCTCTGTGATCTATTACTGAACAGACGCACGGCAACTTGGAATCTATTTGTTTTATATAATAAAGAATTTAAAAAAGTTTTAATGATGACGTTATCTATACGTCTGTCCTCCAATAGATCATAAGTGAGAACCAATCAAAACGCGTGTATAACTGAGCTTATTAT